AAGGTTTCTTCCAAGCACGGCTTTAACAAGGCCTTGTAGGCAGGGGGGCTATTGTGAGGAAACTGCAGTGAGAAGCTGCTCATACAGCCAGCCTTGCCGGGACACAAACACGCCAGCCCTTGAAAGCGCATCAACAAGGCTCTGGAAGGGGTACACTCTTTGATCGCCGTGCAACAAATGGCTCGAACGAATTGGGTCTTTTGCCCTCCTACAAAGTTGAGAGATCCATTGATCCGAAAGGGACATGAACGCATCTTGAAAAGAACGATTGGTGAAGAGAATGTGAATCGTACAGGCCCCCAAAGGTCGGCGCCGACTCATGGTACGATCGCATCCCCCCGCCTCCGCCGGAAGAAGCGCGAACTCATCCTGCCACAGTTCCCACATGTCCACCCCCAGTTTGTCACGCCTTGTATCACCTTGCCGGATAACACCCAGACTGCTTAGGGAACAATGGGCGCCCTGTATGCTTGCTTCGAGGCATCATGCACGAAGCCTCTGAGTTTTGTACATAGCGCGAAACAAACTGCACGAACCAGCGCCGCAACGAATACGAGCACAGTGCTGACGAACAGCCCGGCTTGAGCTGAGCATGCCAACACTCACCTTACCCACACTTTGTGCTTTGGATTTGTGAATTGGAGATGCTTGGGCTTTTTGAGGCTACCTTTCTACGCGGTGTCAAAGAGGCAATGCCGCGGGAAAGGCCGAGGAAACAACCACAATTGGTCGCTGCAATGCGGCTCCCCTTCTCACCGGCAAATCTCGACCCGCCAAGTACTGTCATCATGGCATCGCAGTCCGAAAGACAGAACAACAATGCTACATGTTGCTTATGTATTTATGTATTTGCTTATTTGCTGTCTTATGTATGTACTCATATCATTTCTTGACTGATTTACTTGTATGAATGCGTACATATTTATAAATTCGTAGAACACTGGCCGGGAGTAGCGCAAGAGCCAGTAACCAATGCGCAAGCCAACATTGTTGCGCCAATGGAAAGGTGATGAAACCCCTTGCTATAGCCCTCAATGATCCGACCCAGCGAATCAAGACGGAAAAAGGTCGGCCGTGTGCCCCAAGCAACTAAAAATCTGAGATGTTCTAGCGACATGGTTGCGGCCCGCACTGGAGACACTCCCTGACTCCGGCCTGCGCCTTTGATTCGGGCGCCGGTGCGGCCTCCGCCCTTGGCACGCGCGAAACAACTCGACCCAAGACGGGGGCTCCTTTGGCAAGTCGACGGCTTAAGGCAATGGAGGCCAGAAGGAACCAGAAGCCGACCAAGAAACAAACTCGCCAACCCTTGGCCGATCCAAAACCTGGCGCGCAGGGATTGAGCTACAGCATCCGTATTGAAGCTTCAAGCCACCAAAATAGAACAACATTTTCAGGGGCCCTTTCTGGGGTTTCAGGCAGACAAGCACCTTCTGAGTGAATTGGTCAACAAAGTCAAACTTGTTGCTTGCCACGAAACCCCCCTAGCAAAAAGCCAAGGAACACACAAGGAGTGATGGGAGGTTGATGTTGAACCCGGAAAAGACCCTAAGCACAAGCTTAGGACACTTGGCCCCTGGTAAAGAAAGCTCAAAAAGAAAGTCAGAAATCTGTTGTCCCCTTAAGCTTTGAGCAGTGCTCAAAGTTCACCTTTTGGAAAGCTGGGTGGACCGTTGCAAAAAGCATGTTGTTGTTTTGCCACTAAAGCTGCCTTCCCGAAAAGGATGTAGTCTAGGAACTCGGGGAAGGTAGGGACCCCGCGGCAAACCGCGGTTCTGCATTCAGGGCCACCCTGGCTTGCAAAGCCCAAGTTCGGCAACTGCTCTTCTAATTCACGAGGACGGAGAATTGCGCCCAAACTGGCAGGCCACACGGGCACAAATCCTAGTGACAATGGAGCTTCGGTGGGCATATTTTACGTAGCAGGGGTTGATGCGAGCCGACAAATTTTAAGGGCGGCCAAGCCAATGAAAATTACGGCCACTCAAAGGGGAGTCTTGCAAGGGCCTCGGTGCGGGTTGCAGATAAATCCGACGGTTGCGTACACGGAACCAACCGCTCATCTGCAACCAAGTAAAATGGAAACATTTGGCAAAGCTTTTGGACCCCAAAGAAACACAAGAACACCAACGCATTCACTAATGACTCAATTACGTGTCCATTCATCTATGCACTTTCTCAGAATGTTGTTCGATTGATCGTTCATTCCAGCCAATTCCAATCAATCACATATCATTCCTTCCTTTATTCATTCATGTCGATCATTTGTTCACGTCATTCATTCATTCATTCATTCATTCATTCATTCAATCATTCATTCATTCATTCATTCACCCATTCATTCATTCATTCATGCATGCATGCATTCATTCATCCATTCATCCATTCATCCATTCATCGATTCATCCATGCATCCATTCATCAATTCATTTGTCCGTTCGTTCATCCATTCATCAATTTATCCATTCATCCATTCATTCGTTCGTTTGTTCATTCATTCATTCATCCATCCATCCATTCATTCATTCATTCATGCATTCATTCATTCATTCATTCATTCATTCATTCATTCATTCATTAATTCATTTAATTTCCTTTCCTTTCATGTCATTTCAATTGATTCATTCATTCATTCATTCATTCATCCAGTCATCCATTCATCCATTTATTTCATATCATATCATATCATATCATATCATTTCATGTTCATTGCATTTCATTTCATTTCATGTCATGTTCAGTCATATCATGTCATGTCATTTCACTTCATGTCATTTCATGTCATGTCATGTCATGTTCATTCATGTTATTTCAGTTCATTTCATTTCATTTCGTTTCATTTCATGTTCATTCATTTCATTCATTCATTCATTCATTCATTCATTCATTCATTCATTCAGTCAGTCAGCCAGTCATTCAGTTCATATGTTCGTTCACTCATTCATCCATTCATCCATTCATCCATTCATTCATTCATTCATTCATTCATTCATTCATTCATTCATTAATTCATTCATTCATTCATTTAATTTCCTTTCAATTCATTTGGTTCATTCATTCATTCATTCATTCATTCATTTCATTCATTCATTCATTCATTTCATTCATTCATTCATTCATTTCATTTCGTTCATTCATTCATTCATTCATTCATTCATGCATGCATGCATGCATGCATGCATGCATTCATTCATTCATTCATTGATTCATTCATTCATTCATTCATTTATTCATTCATTTAATTGTCTTTCATTTCATTTGGTTCATTCATTCATTCATTAATTCATCCAGTCATCCATTCATTTCATATCATGTCATGTCATTTCATGTCATTTCATTTCATGTCATGTTCATTTCATTTCATTTCATGTTCATTCATTTCATTTCATGTCATTTCATTTCATTTCATTTCATGTTCATTCATTTCATTTCATTTCATTTCATTTCATTTCATTTCATTTCATGTTCATTCATTCATTTCATGCATTCATTCAGTCAGTCAGTCAGTCAGTCAGCCAGCCAGTCATTCAGTTCATATGTTCGTTCACTCATTCATTCATTCATTCATTCATTCAATCAATCAATCAATCAATCAATCAATCAATCAATCAATCACTTAATTCAATTCAGTCATCTCACTCATTGATTAATTATATTCTGTAATTGTTGCATTCATGCATGCATGCATTCATTCATGCATTCATGCATTCACTCATCCGCTCATTCATTGAATTATAGAAAGCTGATTGATTGATTGATTGATTGATTGATTGATTGATTGATTGATTGATTGATTGATTGATTGATTGATTGATTGATTGCTTGCTTGATTGGTTGATTGATTGATTCATTGATTGGTTGATTGAAAGAATGAATGAATCATTGACTAGTTGGTTTGTTGGTTAATCAATTGGTCGCAATTTCACCCCCACCGCAATCTGCAGAATGTAAACCGCCTGGATACTGGAAAAAGTCTATTCCGGTTGCCCGCCAGACAAAAAACCATGGGAATTGCAGAAAAAGGAAGCCCCCAACATGGATCCGCGCCGGGACCCATCCCGATATATTAATTATAGGGCAAGGGATGTATCTCCTCAAACCTGCGTTTAGACCCCCCCAAATTTGCACGTGAGCAGTGCCGAAAATAGGGTACATAAAACCCTCAACTAACCAACCACTTTCGCGGACCCTTTCGCAATGCTTTCGCGGCCACACGTTTCACTTTCGCGGGCATGCGTTTTGTCATGATCACTTTCGCGGAGCTTTCGCGGGCAACACAGAAACATCGAATATGCACTCTCGCGACGCTTCGCGGCGGGCTCTTCTTCAACAACTTTCGCCGCAAGCTTTGGCGCCCTGCGTTTTAGCTTTCGCGAGGCTTCGTTAGGAGAGGCCCTCAATTAACTCCTTTCAGAACCTTTCATGAGGGGATTTGGCGCTGCTCACGTTGGTCTTGTAGCGCCCGGAACGCAGATTGGGAATCCAAAATAGCGGCCCCATGATTGATTGCATGGTGCTGTGAGTGAATTGCACAAGCTCCTGGCCGTTTTTTTCCCGCACTTTCTCACTATGCACTCAAGCGCTTTGGCTCCTCCAACTGCCAAAAAATCTGTGACGTTACGAGCATCCGAACAAAACTCGGCCGAAACCGGTCTAAGGTCTAAGAGGTGGCGTGTTCAAACCAAACAGGGAATAAGCGATACCCCCCCCATGTGGCTACCATTTTAACGTGTGGTTCCTTCAGGTGACGTTGGAGAGAGAGCCCGTGTCGAAAGATCTCGAGTGGCGCAGCCGGAGTTGGTCGGGTTGGTTGAAAAGCAGATCAACCCTTCTTTCCCCTGCAAGCACGTTCATTCTGGACAAACCAATACGCACAATCCATGCCCCGGCCTTCCTTGAGGTCTGGATACCAAAAGCCTGCAGTTCAAGATCTTGAAGGGGTCCAGTATCCAAAAGCCACCAAACCACAAGATCGATGTAGGTTCCTTACTTTCTTTTTTAGCTTGCTTGGTGGTTGGGTTTCCGTATTTAACCCACGGTTCAGCACACCTCGCTGAGAAAAGGAAGGCTTTTGGGAAGCACACCTCGGTTCGGAACGAACCAGGCGTCTGGTAAGCGATCTTCACCCAAGGGGTTCGGCTCCCTCGGCCGCGTGGGCCTTCAGAGACTTCATGAGCCCGGCCCATCTGCCCATTTCGTGGGTCAACGCCTGCCCAGAGTGAACCACGCTCTGCGTGATCTCGGCCACTGCCTCCTTCCCCGTGCTGAGAATCTCCTTCCTTGCGCTTGTGGTTCGGAGTTCGGGGGCGATTCAAACCCTTGAGCCACAACATGCTTGCAACGCTATGGTTTATGGAATCCACAAGGATTTGATGTACAAGGGGGGTAGTTGAGAGCCCTAACTTTCCTTACGGTACCCTAGATTGTTTTAGGGAGCCAAAGGGAACCCTTGAAAATTCCTCCCTTGGAACGCACCTTAAAGATTCCGCCAATGGCGGTGGCTTCAGCATGTTGAAGCTAGGGGTTGGCTCGGCCAGGGTCTGGTTGAGTGTCGACCCGCGCTTCTCCAAAAGGCGTTTGGATTTTGGGTACTCCTTCGATTGATGGCTATCAAAGAAGTTGTTTTAAACATACTTGTTTGCTGGCAGTGTGTTGAACGGAGATCAGAAGAACGTCGCCTTTTCTTTGGGGGGGGGGGCAACTCAAAGACAAACTCCAAAATGGCAAAACCTTTCGTAACCCAGAGCAAGGTTTCAAGGATTGTCTTTGAACAGCCCGTTCTGGGCGTAACAAAGCCCGACAAATCCCGGCCACATGTGATTGATTGTTCCTTGGCCAATGGGAGACACGCAGAAACACAAAAAGCACCAACGGACCAAAAGAGAAGCTAAGTCTGGCAGCGCCGCTTCGTTTCGGCCAGCGTGATCTTGTGCCTGTCCGCCCGCTTGTAGAGGCATTTGTTGGTCAACATGTCAAACCTGAGAGGCGCGCCGCATCGGCCGCACCGCGCCGTGTCTGAAAGACGCGACTTCGAATTCGCCGTTGAGGACTCAAGATGGGATGCTGCGAGATGCATCAAGCACATCAAATCTACGAAGCTGAACTGAGTAAAATGAACATGGGCCTCGAGGCGGATGAAAGCTTTGGCAGACGGCCAGCTTTAGCGAGAGCGCATCAACTCCCTGTTTCGCTGAGCCCCCTGTTATCCAAGTATGGATGTTTGCATGTAAACATGGGTGCACACAACTTTGACGCATAAGAAATACCCGCATATGAATGTATATGAGCACTTGCAGGCTGTATATGGATGAAGGAACAAACTAAATAAGACTAGCAACAGAGAGAGAGAGAGAGAGGGAAGGGGAAACAATGTATAGTTCAATCACTTTCTGAGTGGATTGGCCAAGCAAATCAACACTCATGGTTGTCACTCAAATATACAGAAGTTGTCCGAACTGACGAAACAGAACGTGTAACATCAAGGAACACGGGGGTAAGCATACCTGATGGCAAAGATCCTTTGGCCATTGGCTGACCTCATTCAGCCCTCAAGGAGCGAGGGGTGGAGGTAAAGCTCCCCCGGTTCCATTTTCCGAGTCTTTCACGCGGGCTAATGAAGCACAGACCAAACTTCTGGGGGGTTAGTGGCCTTATCAAAGCTGGGGACCCTCAAAAGTGTTCCAAACATCGCAAGAACGCGGTTTCGAGGATGCCCGCACTTCATTTCAGCGCAAACTGCCCCCATCTACCCAACTGGAGACGCACCAGCGCCCCTGCTTCAACCTCTCAAAAAAAGAACCTCCCGAAGCACCGCTCCCCGTTAAGCAGGTAAGGATTGGGATATGGCGGAGCGAACTTGGCCACTGTAAAATGTAGCCTTTTCGGGTCCAAGCACCCAGTCGTTGTTCAATGGCACCAGCCAGTTGTCCCTTTTGCTTGCTGGGTTGCCCCGCACATTCAAAAACAAAAAACAGCTTCCTTGTCCTTGTTCAGCCTTTTTGGGTCACAGGGTAACGAGATTTCTTTGGGGGGTTCATTTCCGAAGGGTGAACAAAAGATCGCAAGTTCAAGCTTGCACCTCATCTCAGACAACCATCTCATGGGAATAAAGAGCATCTTCGATTGGGAAGTAAATGACTTAGTTCACACAAAACCCCTGCACACAAGAAAGAAGAAAGGCCAACCAACACGTCGTTGAGATAGCCCAAGCTAAATGGCAGGCGGCAGGCGCGTTAAATAATTAGAAAGCCGGGAAAAAAACATACCCATCCCCTTGTTGCCTTTGGGTAAATCTCGTGATGCGGGTTTCTGGACCTGGCAGATTGCAGTAACACACCCTCCCCAAAACGTGAACAATCCAAATCCACACAGGCTTATTACTCAACTGGATTACCAGTATCCCTCCTGGAGTTGCTTCAAAGGGAACCAATGCCTTTCGTGTTCTACTGTAGGACAAGCCCAAACGGAGTTCATGCCACCGAGGGGCTGAACATGGTTGTGGAAATTGAAAGGGTCGGAACGCCCACAAGCCGCCCTCCGACCTTCCCAGCTTATAGCCAACCCCCAGCTCTCCCCAGGTTTCTCCCCTCCGAGCCTCCCATGCCGACCTTCCCGGGTTTCAGCCAACCCTCCCCCATCACTCTTTCTTAGCCCTCCGACCTTCCCGTGTTTTTTTATGCCAACCCCCAGGTTTGATCTCCCCTCCCTTCCCCACACGCCCATGCCGATTCCGGAAATGTTTTCTTCTCCGACCCGCAGGTCCCCACACGCCCCCCCCGACCTGCCCGAAAGGCTTTCTCCGAGCCGCAGGTTGGAGGGCACCTCCTTAGCGATCTCCTGGTACACCAAGAGCTCCACCGCCCGGCGCCCCGCCTCCACCGAGGCCTCCGCGAAGATCGAGGCCATGGTCGTCAGCAGCACCGCGGCCGCGCCCCCGCCTCTAAGGCGAGACGATGGACCCTGTGCTTGCGCATACCACATATTTACGTGTGTATATATATATATGTTTATATATGCTTACCCGCCCCCCAGGTACCCAGGTTCGGGCTTGGTTCAGATGTGCTTTGACCGCGGAAGCAGGCAGGAAGAACAGCTCAGATTTGCACACTGGGAAGCCAGAGGAAGGAGGTTTGCTTCATTGAAGAATGACGCCTTGGACGTGACCCATGCCCTTTTTCAATGGCTCTTCCACACAAAATTCAATTCACATATCTTCCCACATAAACCATGCCTTCTTTCAAATGCTCTTCCACAGATAATTCACATATCTTCCCACACAAACCATGCCTTGTTTCAAAGACTCTTCCACAGAAAATTCACACATCCTCTCACCCAACACATGTCTTTTTACATGTCTTCTTTCAATGAAACAAAGGCAGCATATGTGAAAGAGTTGCCAAGGAAAGTGAACCCTGTGTAGAATAAAGCCAGGCTATGGCTGGGACAGCTTGTGTTACAAAAATCGGTGGTTTTACATGATATTTACTGTCTTTTGCTGTACTTTTATGAATCACTGTAACCCTGACTCTTCCACAAAGACTCACATATCATCTCACACAAAACATGTCTTTTTCAATAACTCCTCTCTACAGAAAATTCACATATCCTCTCACCCAGAACATGTCTTCTTTCACAAAGGTTCACATATCCTCTCACCAAAACATGCCATTTTTCAAAGGCTCTTCCACAGAAAATTCACATATCTTCCCACACAAACCCCTTCTTTCAAAGACCCTTCCAGAGAATATTCACATATCATCTTACACCAATAACTCTTCTCTACAGAAAATTCATTCATCCCCTCACCCAAAACATGTCTTTTTACATGCCTTCGATCACAAAGGTTCACATATCCTCTCACCAAAACATGCCTTGTTCAAAAGCTCTGCCACAGAAAACCGACATATCTTCCCACACAAACCATGCCTTGTTTCAAAGACTCTTCCACAGAAAATTCACACATCCTCTCACCCAACACATGTCTTTTTACATGTCTTCTTTCAATGAAACAAAGGCAGCATATGTGAAAGAGTTGCTAAGGAAAGGGAACCCTGTGTAGAATAAAACCAGGCTATGGCTGGGACAGTTTGTGTTACAAAAACGGTGGTTTTACATGATATTTACTGTCTTTTGCTGTACTTTTATGAATCACTGTAACCCTGACTCTTCCACAAAGACTCACATATCATCTCACACAAAACATGTGTTTTTCAATAACTCTTCTCTACAGAAAATTCACATATCCTCTCACCCAGAACATGTCTTCTTTCACAAAGGTTCACATATCCTCTCACCAAAACATGCCATTTTTGAAAGGCTCTTCCACAGAAAATTCACATATCTTACCACACAAACCATGCCTTCTTTCAAAGACTCTTCCACAAAATGGGTCACATATAATCTCACACAAAGCATGTCTTTTCAATAACTCTTCTCTACAGACAATTCTTTCATCCTCTCACCCAACACATGTCTTTTTGCATGCCTTCTTTCACAAGGAATCACATACCCTCTCACCAAACCCATGCCCTGGCTCTTCCACACAAAGTTCAATTCACATATCTTCCCACACAAACCATGCCTTCTTTCAAAGGCTCTTCCACAGATAATTCACATATCTTCCCACACAAACCATGCCTTGTTTCAAAGACTCTTCCACAGAAAATTCACACATCCTCTCACCCAACACATGTCTTTTTGCATGTCTTCGTTCAATGAAACAAAGGCAGCATATGTGAAAGAGTTGCCAAGGAACGTGAACCCTGTGTAGAATCAAGCCAGGCTATGGCTGGGACAGTTTGTGTTACATAAGTCGGTGGTTTTACATGATATTTACTGTCATTTGCTGTACTTTTATGAATCACTGTAACCCTGACTCTTCCACAAAGACTCACATATCATCTCACACAAAACATGTCTTTTTGAATAACTCTTCTCTACAGAAAATTCACATATCCTCTCACCCAGAACATGTCTTCTTTCACAAAGGTTCACATATCCTCTCATCATGCTCCGCAAATGTTGCGCAACATTTGGAGTTTGTTGCGCAACATTTCCCTGGACCAAAAAACCAAAAAAACAAAGAATCCCAGCCTTGGTGGGGGCTAGGATTGGTGTTTTGTTTTTTTGTTTTGTTGGTCCACAAAATGGCCTTGCAGAAAATGCATGGGTTCAATCAAAACACACTGTAAATATCAATGGTTTTGATACATGATGCAACAACACCTGGGTACTGGGGGGGTACCATATATATATATAAATGCTCGTGTATTTTTGTATAAATATAAATATGTAAAACAATATACACGTATACATATATCCTATATCTAAATCCTTATGTTCATATACAGACAGACGAGATACGAAAAGACAAGACAAGATAAGATAGGACCAGCTACGTTGCGATACGATTTGCGAACAATACCCAATATGCTTTTGTTGGGGTTCCGCACCCATGTATTTACACGGAATGTCCTTAAGATGGGACTAGAGGTCTTCTTCAATAGTCCTCGCTTTGAACTGGGCCAACCTACCGAAGAAACGATGCGACATCCGTTTCAGAATCATAGATGCACAAATTTGGAAATCCACGCCGGCTTGATGGCTGGAGTGCTGGCAGGCTGGATCTGTTTAGAAGGACCGATGGCTGGATTCAAATACCATGATAAACTAAGCTTACAACGCGTGACGGTTGTTTGTTCATTTTGATTGAAATTGCGTGGGATTGTGCGGCACATGTTTCGAAACTGCTTTGACTTGTTTGGTGAATCTTTGGATGCTGCGAACCTCCTTCTAGGAAAAGCAGCCCTTTTTTGTCGCAACATGAACCCTGACCAAGAATCTCTGGAAACGGAGCGCAACTGACTGCGAACAAGCGGATCGGAAGGCAATATATTCACCTTACAGAACCCTACAGCCTACTGAAACTTAGCACAAGGCTCTTTGAAGGGGCTGTTCCAGCTGCAGTAGAGCTTCATTGTCAACCAACACGGACGGAAAGATTGCGCAGCCTGACTTGATGTCACGCACGCGTTTGCACCCCCAAGTTCATCTCCATGCGTTTGGCCCACGCATGCCCACGCCAAGCGATCCATGGGCCAACTGCCTACCCTTAATCTCGACCCACCAACAACGGAGGAAAGGCTGCATCAGTATGTTGCCTGTTACTGTTACTTTGGAATGCAGTCAGCGTCACCACTGCGCAGTTCGTTGTGCGCAACGTCCTCCTTAATTCGGGAATGGCCCTGGAACTACGCAATTCAACACATTGACATGATGCCAGGGGCATGTGCGCACAGGTGTGGATGCTGGTCCGCGAAGCTTGCTTAGATGACCGCAAATAGAGGACTTGCACAGGCCACAAGCAGCAGTGTGTCCACTGAGGGGTTCTTACGGTAGGAGCAAAGGCCCCGTGCTAGAGGTGCCCGGCCTGGCCGCGAGCATTTTGCGTGGCGTTTACCGCAAAAAAAAGACATAATCATGCTCATTGACTGTAGCTCGCATCTAGCAGACTCGAACTGCGTCCGAACACGTTCTTAGATCTCACACATGTGCAGCAGTGCGCAGTCTGTCGCAGTGCTCCTTCAAAGTAAGCCTGGCCCCAGTCAGAAAAGACTCCAAAGGTTTCTGTGGGAAGTGTGGCATTTCATGCAAACCTGTTAATCTTGGAAAGGTTGGGAGCCACAAGCTTTTGCGCCAAGCGTTTGACTCGCAGCCTGGCGCCACTCTGACATCTGCGTTCTTGCATCCTGCCTGCCAACCCTGTCCATGACAGGATCAGCGAGTAGCTGAACTTCCCGATGTCCACAATGGTATCCTCACAGTTCGCTGGCATCTCGCTTTCGTTCCGAAAAGGGAACGGCAACATAGTTTGCTAAAATAAATGGACAGGTTGGCCCCATCGAATACCTTCCCTCCTCACGCGGTTGCTCCACTCAAAGCGAGTGGGGTTCAAGAGCACCTTGTCTGCCATGCCGCGAAATTGCCGGACTGACGAAATGGATTGGGAAGGGGCCAGAGCAACCCAATACATGGCGAAACCATTGGGCTCAGCCTCCTCCCAGGAACCCAACCCTATCCCCCGACTTGCACATTTATAGGCAAGCGCGCAGAGTCGCTCCACCAACAACGGTTCCAGCAAAAGCTGACTGAACCAACACGATGTGGGAGGGTTCGTCTTTGATTGTCTTTCATCCTTGTGCAGCACCCTTGAACGCTAACAACACGCACGGACGGGTGGCAAAGCCGGGGCTGCCAATGCTTCCCCCGCCTGCTCAGAGCTTCTGCCCCCGCCCTTCCCGCCCCCGGAGAAAACCCACTGCGGTTTCGCGTGACCGACACCCTGCTCGGGTCCATGAAGCTGCTGGAAGACAAGACCGCCTGCAGCTGCGTGAGCATCACGGCGGGCGAGAAGGTTTTCTGCAGGTACGTCTTCATCCTGAGGCTCGCCCGAGGTGAAAACTGAAAACGCTCGCTACGTTGCCCCCCGGCACCGGAAAAGGGTATGTCACTGTACATTGGCGCAAACAGAAAGCGCAGCCAGATAGTGAAACAGTCTGGCGCGCCCTTTGAAAGGACAGCGGCAGGCGCGCTTCGGCGTAGCAAGGAGCGGCGCTTAACTCCTACAACAGATTTGCGCAGCGTTGGGCATCCTGTGCGCGGCACGCTCAGCTGCAGTGGCTGTGCCTTTCGGGCATTGGCGCCACGCTGAGAGTGGACACGGGTGTCGTGCGCAAACTTGTCCCCCGGCTGCCAGCAACTGACTGCTAACGAACCAATGCAGCGCGTGAAGCCCACAAGCGGCAAAACAGGCGAGCAGCTGGGCGCGAGAGGCTGCCCCGCGTGTCCTGTCCCCATCTCAATCCCGTCTGGACGCGACCACCAGGGATATGTTCAATGATGCCTGGGATGTTTATGCATCCCAAACATGTTCTGCGTGCTCTTGGTTCGTTGGCTTTGGCCCTGCGGTCGTGCAAGGAAACACACAGATATAGAGGCAAACTATCCCAACTATGTTTCATTTGGCCCGGCACACGGCAGCCCGTACATGAAGCAGTTAGGCACCGATGTTTCCTTGGTAACATGTTTCAAGCTCGCACCCGCTTGAACTCAGCCCTACTCACATATGAGGCAACATGTGAGGCGCCGCCTGGCCTTCGCGCTTTCAACACTGCTGCAGCCCTGGTGAAAGCACGTCTAGGGCCCAGGCCCCATCATGACCTAGGTCCTCAAGTGGAGAGGTTAGAATAAGGGTACCCGACTTTTTTGTGTGGTCTATTTTAGTGGGGGAACCCTCGCCAAAAAAAATGCAAACGGGCACTACTTGCGGACCTAGTCACTTATTGCAAGGCCATGATCTCTGGCCTAGCATTGGTATTGACAGAGTTCAGGCCACCTCAACATTCGCCCATCGGGGTGCGCTTATCCCCAACGGTGCGTATGGAAGCCGTGATCCGTCATGGAAGAACAAATATGCTCTCGTTTCCCTGACGTTTGACATGAACCCATTGGAAAGACCACAGGTTGCGACTTGACTGGGCGGAGCTCGCTGTTACTATGCCCAGTGCCAGGATCTACTTTTCCACGGACAGCCTTTCACAGTCCCCACGTCTTGGGGAAGGAAACCAGGACTCCGCCTGTCTAAGCGCCTTGGCTCTGGGTTTTCTGTGCGCTGTCCATGTTGGGTCGGAAAGGGATTGCTCAAAGCTGCTTGCGCCTGCATGCTTTCTTTACTTGTTGGTCTGCTTCCGTGGCAAGCTGGGCAAAAACGATGTATCGAATTGTGTCCATAGCTTTGCCCTAGCTGTTCGCAAATCCGCACTCTTCACCGGCCTGCGCTATCGTAGTTCGCACTTGTCCCTTCCTCGCAAGACTTGCCGCGCACCTTTCGTGGCGTCCTCTTCATGACCAGCTGCGGGAAGACCATTCATGCGGATTGCAAGCACTGGGAATAGTCCCTCATTGCCACAACCCTGAGTTGTCCTTGTCCAACTGTTTCCGGGGCCCGAAAAAAGCATCCTAGCCGCCCCCCCTCCCCAAGGTTTTCTCCGGCAGCCTGGAAAAGGCCGCAAGCTGGAAAAGGCCGCAAGCTAGCTTTTGGGTTTTTTAGGGAGGCAAATACCGCGAGCTCGATTTGATCCAAAGCTCTTATCGGCTGACTCGGCAGCATAGGCGAAGGCGCCGACGGCAGAGACGGCAGGGTCCCCGTAAACATACCAACTCACCTTCTCGCACCTCAGTTGTTCACCATTCCAGGCACTTATCTAAAGCCAAGCAAAACCCAAGGAAACGGCCGGTTTTAAAGGCAAACCAAAAAAAAAAGCGGGGCACCACCATCTGAGATTGTCAGCAAAAGATCTGAAATCAGGGATCTCCAAGTAAAGGGGCCTTCAAGGTAAGGTCGCTTTGCCTGCTGCAGCTGAGGGAACCAGGGTTCCCGATACAAAAATGTGCATATGAAGACAGACTTATTGTTCCCGTTTTTGCTCCATCTATCAGCTCTGGATTTGGTTCCATTTGATGAGTTAGCGCCTCCTTTTTTTTGAAAAGGAACCTACGAGCATGGCAAGGCCAGTGGGCGAGAGAACAGTATTCACTGGGCTTGGTGAATAAAGTCCTGGCCTTCAGTACTACCTTTGGGCTGCTGTGGTTGCAGTTTTGCATAAGAAGCCTTGATTTTGAGAAGGTGGGCATTTTGTATTTTTTTGGAAGGCCTTTGCCTTCACCACCAGAGGTGTTCTTTTAAGGTGAGCCTGGTCAAAAATAGATGGCGCTGGTTTAGATGGGTTTGGTTCCACTTACCAGGGCCATCTATCTTTCCAAAAGGCCGCCTATGTTCACTGCACGGATTCACTGTCAGTTAGCTGGGCTGCCTCGCCTTGGCCCCCACTTCCTTTTAGACTTGCCTAGGTCCCCCAGCGAAAGGGTGGTTTTTCTCGTTGTTTTTGGGTTGGGAGATGTTGGGAGGGTTCCCCTACTAAAATAGACGTCCTGAAAAAATGGGTACCCTTATTCTAACCTTTCTACTGGAGGACCTAGTTGCTGTCTTTTGCAACTGTGACTTTGGAGTCCTGTGGGGAGGGGGCGTACTTTATTCACCGTGCATGAATTTATCTTGTCAAGGCCTCCGAAACACTTCATCTCCGCGCGGGCACTGATCCAAGGTGGACACTACCCAGGGAACCGGGGCAAGCAACAAATTTACGAGGCTTGCAAAATGGGAAAGCTGGCGACAATACCCTTCCCACCAGACCAATCAGAAGCTAGCCACCATTTCTCAGGGGGTTGTAGTGTCCAAGTGGATAATGCAAGAGCCCTTGTTATACCCCGCCGGCAGGGCTTCCTATGTTTTGCCTCTTGCTTGTAGACATCACCTGGGTACGTCTTCATGGAGTTTCCTCAGATTTCCTCAGGGTGCTGTTCTAAGCTGAACCAAACAGAAAACCAAATTCTAAACAAAACAACTCGCAACAACACATGGACAATTCAATCCAGCAATGCTGAACCAAATGGGGATCCAAATGCAATCTCAAACGAAAGCTCCAGCAACCCTAAATCGTATCGAAGTTCGAAATCGACAAAGGGGAGATGTGACGTCCGCAAGGGAATGTTCCGGAAGAACTTTCAGCCAAGTTGACACGTGCCCCCTCTTGAGGGTTGTTTTGATTCCCGCCCATTATTTAGAGCTCACTTTCTCAGTGGATTCGTTCACTGGGAATAAAGCGTTTCAGCTTCCTTGGTTTGCCACCGGAATGGTCTCCCAAGGAGGGATAAAAGCAACAAACTCGGAAGTGAGTTTTGGGGCCGAGGTGTTTTTTTTGCATAGCCCTGGCATTCGCCTAACCCTGGCACAGCCTGGCGTGCACGAAAGAAGACACTAACGGATAGAGGTTTGGGGTAGGTTTAGGGTAGGTTTGGGGTAGTCGATTTGGGATAGGTTCAGGCCCTGCATCGTTTTAACATCATCAGCATCGTTTTCAACATCCTCAGCATCACCAGGTTTTGGTTTGGGCTGGGTTTGGGGCGGGTTCCAGGTTGGCTCAGGGTCGGCTCTCGGTGGGTTCCAGACCTATTGAGAGCAAATTTGGGGGTGGTTGTGCTTGCGGCAGATGGTTTAGTGCTGGTTTATGGTGGGGCTTCTTGGGGTTGGTCTCGGGTAGGTTTAGGGCTGGTTTCGGGTGGGATTAAAATTGGCTGCAGCCATGGCTTTGCTTAAGCCCACTTGGGTGGTTTAAGGTAGGTGGCGGGTTGCACCCCAAATCGACTACCCCAAACCTACCCTAAACCCACCCTGAACCCATCCCCAACCTTTGTCCCACCGAACCAACCAACCAACCAACCAACCAACCAACCAACCAACCAACCAACCAACCAACCAACCAACCAACCAACCAACCAACCAACCAACCAACCAACCACCTGCCAAGGTTAGCCCTGCGCCAGGGCTAGGCAAAAGAAACACCCTTTCCTGAGTTTTGGTTCCAAACCCCCCCCCCAAAAAAAAAACAGCTGGGGAAAGCACACACACACAGCTTGGCAGACTGGAATTGAACAGGTCAGATTTGACTCAGTGGGACGCAAAGCCTTGTGATGTAGGTTCACTTGCCCAAAGAGCGCCCCTAACTATGACATCATATTGAAAGCCAGCATCTTTTTATGGGTCCGAACCTGACTTCCACGTGTCCCTGTGGGCAAGAGCAGCTCCTGCAAGCCTAGCGGGTGGCATTGGGAAAAAGACAAAAACCAACGCTGCAAAGGGCTATCAGTCACCCAGTCCCATAAAGTGAGGACTCAGGATCAATATTGGAGGTTTTTGATGGCGTGCCCGAATCATTTTTTGGGGGAGTTGCACCCCCCGTAGAAAAAGGTCAGGTTCTACTGCTGATTGTTTGCTTTTTGCTTCAGGGCGCATGGACGCCGCGTCAACTTTGCAAGTTGAAGGCGGTCCATCCCGGGTTGCTAAGGGTAACTCTTGATGCAAGGGGGTGAGAAGGCAAGGCCTTACCTCTCACCTGCCCCGGTCAAGGGTTGCCTGGCCGACCCAGCTCCCGCATTTTTGTTTAAGGCTCATCGGCGATGGGGCGCAACGCGTTGGCTGGGCCAAACTCCATTCGTGTGCGTGCTGCGGGTTGGCACTTCTGCGTTGGTTCACCTTGGCTGTTGCAAATGTCTTGAAGGGGGTCCACTAGGGTGTGCTTCTTGTTGAAGGTATTTGTTGAGGAAGGGTCCAAAGGAAACTCACCAGTTCTTGGTGGGGGGCCCATTTTGCAAGACACACCTATTAGGAATCATTAGGAAAACGAGGCGCATGCGTTCGCGGATCAGCAGCCCGAACTTGGAGATGAAGAGAGCAGCCCTCGGGTGCTCCAGGATCCACTTCCTTGGTCAACACTCCGGCTATGGTTCCCTCAGCCGAATTTCCTTCGGGGTCTACATAACCATCCCTACCAACCTCAAGTAAAAGGCGTTGTGACCATAGCATCACTCGGTTGGACAGACGAGTGCAGTTGGGAGGGCAGCTTTGGGCCACATACATTTAGCCAGCAAGGGCAAGGTTTCCTCCGACACGCAAACACAAGTGCGCCTCTTGAGTCATTGGCAAAGCTACTGTCCCCAACAAGAATGATATGTTTAGTTCTAGTGTAAAACTTCCCAAAGTTGAAACAAACACATATCTAGTGCAAACAAAATGCTGTACAAAATCGTACTTCTTAAAAAGACACAAATGATTCATATGCTAAACAAAAAGCAAGAAGAACATCTGCAGATCCCAAAGCTAAACCCTTGCGCGCGAGGAAGGCCGAAATCGGTGTGTCCTGGGCTACGCTTGACCCACACTGATCTGGGCTTGAATGACCACGGCAAGAAGCATGGACATTGCTGCGGTATCTGCTTCTATGACTACAATACTTTACCTATTCATGATGCCTATAGTTTCTTGCATTGTCGGGCATTCACGCGGCACCCCGTCCAAGGCATGCCCCTTCACTCTCCCTGGTGCAAAAGTAAGCACAGCAAACAACTGCCAACCCGCCTAAAGGAACGTCACCCAAAATCGGCAACCAAGAGGTGATTGTTTAACCGCCCAGAAAGGACGAGGAAGCATCCAACAGAGTCGCAATCCGAACCTGGTATGTGACTTTGCCCCAAACCTCGAACACGGTCCTCTCTCTACCCCGTGTCCTTGGCAAATCCAATCCATTTTCAGATGCTGCCTCATGTCAACCGACCTGAAAACTAGACAAGCTTCATCAGGGAGAGTCCCCATCGCACTAATGGCTTGGCCACGTAGTTCCTGGGCCGATTCGACGGATCGACTGGTTCGATGCGACCGGCATTAGGAGTGGAGACCCGTTGTTGCTGGTTCAAAGGGATAATTATGAAAACCAAGCGGGCAGCAAATGAAGCCAAGCTTGCAACAGTTGTTTGGCAAAAGCAGGGGGCAACAGAAGGGCAAAACAGGATAACAACAGAACATGCTGCTGCCAAAGCCAGCAAAACCGAAAGGCAACAACACAGGACAAAGGAACAACAAAAAGGCAAAGAGAAAAACTTGTCACCCCGCTGAGGACCAAAAAAAGCCAAAACGCAAAAACAAACGACAAGCAACAAAACACAACTACAAAACCCAGAGGGGGGGAAAACAACACTCAGGCCAGCATGTTTCTAAGCAAAGCCAAAAGGGGAAAAAAAAAAAAAAAAAACTAAGGCCAGCATGTGTTTAAGCAAACCCCGGGGAAAAACACACACACACACACAAAGGCCAGCATGCTTTTGAGCAAAGCCCGAAAAACACGGCGAAAAGTTGGCTCAAAGAAACAAAGACACAAAACCTCAGCGTAAAGGAAAAACCTCCGCGCCAGGGCGCCACAAGGGCTTCAAGCCGTACTGGAACACCGCCCCAGGCACGGAGCTGATAACGGCCCAGGCCTTGGCCCAATTGGAGTCCGGGTCCGCCTGGCGATCGGATGATCGGGCGGTCGATCGGGATCGGGCGATGATGGTTGACCCTGGATTAAGAAACCCCTGTTATTATAATATGGCCAATGCGGCCCTAATGCAGGCCTTTATTGCCGACAGCTTGGCTTCTTGGTCATGGTTGGTGTGATTGAAACGACGAAGATGGACCAACCGATGTTTGCGCATGATATGGGGTGTCCCTGGTTTTAGTGGGGATTTTGGAGGGGAACACCCCCATATCAATAAACAGGGGGTTTATCAATCCGGGGTTAACATTCGGGATGAAGCCGAGGAGGCCCGAGGAAAGCATCGAACCGTGGGGAGTCCCCAAAGGAAACCATCAGGAAAAAGCCTTGCAAAGCTGACATGGTGAGGCTGCCAGCATTGTCATTCTGAGATGCAAATGTCCTTGAGTTCTTGCAGCGCTTCTCAAAGGAAACTGTAAGGGATTGCTGCCGGCAATGTGGGAATGAGCCCATGCCCTAAAAGGAACCTGCTTTGAACAAACGAAGGTTGGACTGTGACAATGGACTGGTGGAGTGGACTGTGAGATTGGACTGGAGGCTGCAGGGAGGGAGTCCCCAAAGGAAGCCGTGCGAGAGATGCAGGGAATGAGAGTTATGGAACCCCAAGACAAACCATCCCACTGGTGGTTTCCTTCAAATCGCTGGGCTCATTCCCACACCCTACTGAGCAGCAGCAGGATTTCCGAAACAAAAACCGAAAAAAAAGAAGAAAAAAAGAAGAAGAAAAAAAACACGCTTGTGGGGGTCTTTCGAGTCATCCCTTCTTTGAACAGAAAGGGGATTCCCAAGGAAGGGAAACTATACAGGAAGTGTTTAAAAAAGGGTCATTCCGCTTTGGGAATGAACCGGTCTGGGAGGGAGTGATTTAATACAAGGAAACATGCGGGATGTGTTCATGGGGGTCATTCCCTCATTGCCCGCTGAGAAGCAGCAAGTTTGACCCTCACTTGCGCAAGTCCAGGATGTTTAGAAGCCCTTTCGCCAGCTTCCCTCAGAGGGGGATTGTCGTCATCAGGACCTCCCCTCAAAAAGCCATCCACGCACGATCCACGCAGAAGGTTGCGTTTCGACAGCTCACGTCGTTCCCACCCGGCGCCAAGGAAGAAGAATCAAAGCGCCAGAAGTGAAACCATGAAATGAATTTGACAAAAGTGGGGAAGTGCCTGTGTACCGTGGGCTATGTAATTTTGACTGCGCGAGCGACACTTTGATGCTGACACAGTGGTGACACAGTGAACTGATACACTGGGCTACGTGCTTGACAGTGACAGCGACACAGCGGTGCCGCAGGCATTGTACAGCTTACTATGTGACTCATTCACCAGGCGGGTCCTTTTGCCACCTTTTGTGGACGATTGATCGACCCCCTCGTAGTGAAGGATTCCTTTTTTGAAGGGGTCGGCGATTTTCTCACAAAAGGTAGCAAAAAGACACCCCTGTCATTCACAGTGTTGACTATGACATTGAGACAGTGCCATTGAGCGGCTGCTCTTTGGGGAACAACGTGGAAAATATGCGTTGAATCTGTTCCATACCTCAGTCAACTAAGATTTGTGTCCGAGAAGGCCGAGTGTCCTTACAAGGAATATCTACCATGTTTATTTTACATGACTGGTAGTGGTTGCGGAGGTTTGCAGGTTATATATTAGTTACAAGCATACATTGGCAGCATGCAAGCCAGTACCCATACCTCCAAAACCCATAAGTACCTGGAAATGACATTGGGCTCGGCTATGCTTCTCCAGGGGTCAACTCAGTTCCTGGATTGGCCAAACCGTCCAGACCTTTTCGTTGCCACTGACACGATCATCCCAAACACACCAGTGAAACCCCTGCCCCTGCCCCAAAAAACGAGCCCAACCGCTAAGGCTTGAATTGGCCTTCTTTGGCAGCTGTCTATCATTCTAGCGCCTAAGCGTTGTTGAATTGTTCCCCGTTTTCGGCCTCCCCAGCACCAGCTCCTAAAAGCCCAACGCATTACGGAAGACCCACCTCTCCACCACATGGGGCCCACGTTCGCCCGATAGGCGACAATGGGAAGGGCTACATGGGGATGGGGTTTTGGCTTCCCGGTGGCATCCTGCTAGCGCCCTCTTGTGTTGGGTTCCAACTTGGGTTACCCCACCCAAATGGGTCTAGTAAACGGATTAATTTCGCATGCTGCACGCATGATTGTTCTGTAGCGCAAGCGAACGAAACCTGTTTACTCGAACTCGTGGGATGTTTAGGGTATGACTATTGTTTGGGTAGTCTTCCAGCGGCTGCGATGAATAGGGTGTCTGGCAAAACCCAGCGGTTCCGCATCCGCTTTTAGTTCCCTTCAAACACTCACATGTCTTGGACTTCTTGTTAAGGGTACCCTTTTTGGTGTTGTTGTGTTTTTTTAAGGAAACCAAAAGAACCCCCATTATTGGGGGGTATCCCTTCTCACAAGAAGACCCATTTTTCTGGGGAGTTCTGATACGTATAATTAAGTTTGTGCATCGTAAATTAGATTGCTTTCTACTTTTGGCAAAATACCGCCTACTATCGCTGTATGTTGTACACCAAAATTGTGAAAAAATCAGATATCATAGCTGTTGTAGTAGTTTTTGTCCATTAGATTCGCTTTCGCCTGGATGAAGGCGCCCTTCTCCTGGGACCATTGGGCAACTCGCTTTGCTCGGCGCCCGGAGGGCGCCACGTGGTCGCCCTCCTCGGACACCTGGGGCTCAAATAAATGGAACCAAAATGGCACCTGGGCAAATGCAAGCAAAAACTAAAACCTGCGTAACCCTAGGTCTATAATTTTGAGCCACGCCCACCTGTCACGGAAACGCGGAAACGTGTGGAGGACTGAGGTGGAACCCAAAACTCCAGAGGTTGACCGCGGAGGGTGGGATGTAGGCACAAGCTTCTAGTTGGTCCCCCAAATTTTTGGTCCCCCAAATTTTGTCACACACCGCCAATGCTCTAGGGGTTAGTTCCTTTTCCATTCCTTTCAACTATCGTTCTTTCCAACAACCGGATCCGATTTCCCGATTGGGTTTCAAAGGAGGTCTTGTAGCAAGATCCGGATCCCTGGGTTAAGAATGGAAATGGAAGAGACCCCTAGAAAAACCGGGGGAGGGGGGGGAGGGCTCGGGGGGGCTCAAGGCCAGGCCCGTCCTCATTGAAGATCACCCAGTCGTTTCAAGTCAAGGCCGATGTTTGAAGCATCCAAAAGTGGGAAATGCGAGCAGCATTGAGATGGACGCGGGAAAGAGGAGGTTCATATCAAAGCCTTCACCAGTTCTTTTAAGGGGGCCGTTTTTCCAACCCCGAAGCTGCGATGCGCTTCGTAGCATAAGCCAAAAGGCAAACATGAAGTTAACACATCAGGCTTGGGCTTGGAAAAGCGAACTTGTCCTCACTGTTTCCTGGATGCTCCGTCTGTGCAGCTGATTTTAAAGGGCAACCACCTCCCGCAAGAAAGACAGAGGGAACCGCTGGGCATCTGCACGAACAAACAGAAGCTTGGCCCCCGGCCTGAAGCACTGATTCACCGTCCCGGGAGATCTCGATGTCATCCGAGCCTCCACCTTCACCTGCCGGACATTTATGGCATAGGTAAAAAACGCGCCTGGGTCAGGGTGGCCTTAAAATACTTCGCGTGGCACCCTGCTCAAAGCATGAATGCCATGTGTCTCTCCAAATTCCGAGCCCAGAGATTGAAATCTGACAAACCAGCTATGCACAAATCAAGGAGAAACGCTTGACAAATCCTGACCGAACTTGCCTATTCAAATTGCCTTCCCAAAACAAACAAGTCCTAGAGCGGGAGCAATCCCTCCCCCCGCCCCCATCCTAGCAAAAACAAGCGCCAACGGCACGCGGAAAAAACAAAACCCACGGTCTTGTCTCCAAATGGGAGGGATATGTACCCCGCAACTACACACACATATATATATATATATACTTGTCTATGGGTGTTTTTGCTCGGGATTGGTTTCCCCCTCAAGCCAGCCACCAAACATGCTTTTGGAAATCAGTCATGATTTGGGGGGGTCATTATCCCATCTTTGAGGGAAGTTCGAGGGTGAGGGATTCGTGAGTCACATCCTTGCCAACAGAAGACACCCATGGAGGCTTTCCCTGTCAGGCAACGGAGGGATGTGGTTCAGATGTGGTTCGTGTGCTACATGCGAAGCTGAGACGATGTAAGCAATAAAACTGCATTCGAGCACGATTGTACATGCTTTCCAGGCCCAGTCACTGTTCACCGTTTCCTGCAGGTCGTCCAGGATGGTTTTGAACTCTGCGAGGGCTGCACGAACCATGTCCTTCGTTCAATCCGAACCCTCGGAATTTTGGTCCGTTGTACCATCACCAAAAGATCTTAAGGTCAAAGATACCCTCCCCCAGCGGGTCGTTTCAGGAAGTTGATCTTCCAGACCCCCCCCCCCCGCCCCCAGTTAAGCTTCATGTTGGTTGGGGGTATGCAAGATGTTACCAAACGCTGGCCCAGTTTCACCCAGCCAGATCAAGGTCTCGTCGTCTTCGACGTGGTGCAGCAGCATGCTCTTCAGAGCAGACGAGCCGCGATGAAGCGAGTCCTGAACCCGCATGCCTACTAAGCGATAGAAACATAGTATTGTTTGTCCCTCCATATTCTCCCCAAATGAATGCCAATCACACTGTTTGCTCACGACAGGAGAGCAACATTCATGTGGTTGTCCTTTTTCACTACCCGTATGAAGTGTACACTCAAATGTCAGTTGGACTGGGTAGATTTCACTATAGTAGGTGTTGCATCTTTGAGACACTACCAGAGCCACAGTCAAAACACCTTGTGCAAGTCATGGTGGGTCATGGTCATGGTTCCCTGTTGAAGATCCTTAACATTGGCCGTCTAAGCCGTTGAATGGTGATCGCAGGTAAACTCAGTTCCTGAGAAACCAAACTTTGTGTCCCCCCCGAAAAAAAAAGAAGTCCAGGCCCTCTGGGAGTCAGGAAAGGGACCCTTTTGCCCACAGCACACAGCCAAGCTTCCAGCATGTTCTTCTTGGCGGTGGGGTCGTCCACCCCAGCCAGGTCCACCTCTTTCACGCCCGCGGTGTTCATGAGCATGCTCAGCATGAACTCCTGGCGAGGCAAAAAAAAACTTGCGGAGACGCCGAGACACCGCTGTGCGGGCGGAATCCTCATTCTTGTGCCCCACTTCCCATGGCCGTGAGAGCTTGGGAACTAGGCCTCGTTGTTGCGCCTACCTCAAATCGCCCCAAAAAACAAACAAGAAGCAATAGACCCTTATGGCCCAAATTGTTTGGCGATGCTTCTGCCTCTGCATTCAAACAACAACACATGAAGGGGAATACAAAGTCCCAATCCGAAACCCGGTGGGCGACCAATAGCACGCGGAACCACACAACCCGGATAAACGTCCCTTGGAGTTTGTTTGGTGCCACCTTTTTGCGGGGACGCCCAAACGAGTTAATGTCAGAGGTTCGAGCTGCTGTTGCTTAGGCACCCACTGTATCGGCCACAAGCACTCTTCTCCGTTTGCTGTGTCCAGAAAAATCGACAAGTGCTAATTATTGATCCGCATTTCATATGTGCCGCAAAAAGAACCTTTCCAGAACTTCGCGAAAGATTGACCGGATTGGCCTTGTTCTTGGTTCCAGCCTTCCCGTAAAACAACTGGCTCCACCAGTTGTTGTAAAATGTCGCTTCAGCTCACAGCAACTTGCCTTGAGGTCCGAACCAACGAGATAGCTTGCTGGAACTAGGACCCCAGCAAAAAAAAAATGTTGCCTGGTTAAAGCAAAGGGGACCCCAAAAAAGCAAAACAAAAAAAGGGAACTAATTCTGGGGAAGATAGGGAACAACAATTGTTTCCTGTTGGTTCCCCTGAGCAAGGCTCCCAGCAAAACGTACACACCAACTTGAGGTTCGGCCAAGATTCCTGCATCGTCATGGTGCATTTGCGGGCTCATCAAGAAAGACGCGGGGCTCAGAAAAATGTCACATTCTTGGCAAGCTCTGAGAGAAAAAAACACCAACCGCAACTAAGACACCTGGAAAAGAAGCTTCACTTGGACGGCACAACCCCAAGTTGTCCCGTCCAGTTCTACCCTCGCCCTCCGCTCCTGGCGTTGGTCCACCGTGTAGGCGGAGCCGCAGCAGAAGGGTGCGGCAGCCTTCCCGCGGGAAATGCTGGGAGGTGGGGGCCTTTTACGAGGATGCATCCAAACCCAGCAGCTGACCAAGGATTCCCGATCCTAATGAGGTGGTCAAGGTATGCAAGATGGTCTTTGCACTGGCCCAAATGCATCAACCCCCATATGCCCCCTCAGTTCCATTTCTCCGGAACTTTGCAACTCAAAACGTAACCACAAGCGGAAATCCGTGGGTCGAATCCGCACTCCTCGAAACCATGTTTGTAGGGGTGGGCATCCGCCCAACAAGCCCGAGATTCAACCTGGGCCTCTTTCAAAGAAGCTCAGCAGGTGGTCGAGGGGCGCTAAAAGAACACACCAAAGCGTTTCGAGGGGTTTGGCGAATGGGGCAGAAAGTACCTCGGACTCCGCTCTAAGATTCAACTCGACACGAAGGTTCCTGAACAGGGCTGTGGGGAATGACCACTTCTGTGATACAACAGAAAGGGCTTCCCAAAGACTATGTTCTTCATATAAAGGGGATTCCCAAAAGTATCACAGAAGTGGTTGGATAAACCCCTTCCCACAACCCTGTTCCTGAAGTAGTCCAGACCTGCTTGCTCACGGAAGGATTTGTTCTTGCCCGGTTAACCGCAGGTGTCTAGGAAGGCGCTTGAGCTGCCTGCAATAAGACAGCGAGACTTGACGGGACCAGATGCATGTGCGCGGTGTTTAACTCAGTTGTTCAGTGACCCTGGAGAAAAGCAGGGAACCCGTTTGGGAAGACTATTTTTAGTGAGCAGCCACCAAAAACAAGGAAAAAGGGTGCCACTGAACAACTGAATTAATTACAAGCTCGGGCAGTTATTCCAAAGCTCCTTTGCTTCCTTGGGGTAAACACGCTGAGATCCGGTCAAACATTGGGATGATGCTGGGCTGCAAAAAGCTCGGGCCTGCAAAACGACCTCTACACTCTAAAGGTCTAAAAGTCTAAGGGACCGTACGGCTTGGAGCTTTTTCTTTGCCACTGAAAACAAAAAAATCTCAAAAAGCCTTGAGGCCGGGAAGTCAAAGAGTGAGTGAAGCAGGACGGCTTTGACCAAATCTCGCGGTCCAGCAGCTCACAGTCTCGAGTTTCGGCTGCTTCGTCTGAACAAATCGACAATTTACAAAGAGAACTAATCTAGGCTGGAATTAATTAGGACCCCAGCAAAAACATATCTTTTTTGCCTGGTTAGTGGACAACCAAGGGAACCCCCCCCAAAAAAAAAACACGAAAAGGGGAGCTAATTCTGGGGAAGTAATAGTTTGCCTCTCCTTTAACCTTCCGAAAACGGAAGACTTTTGGGTGCCATTGGAACCTCGATGGCAACCCGACAGCAGGCAAGCCCCGAAGACCAATTTGCGGAGGCCGAAGCCGAGCCCCCATATCGCCGAGAAAAAAATGGCCGGGGAAGGAGGGTCAATGAGAGATGGGTTAAAATGCTCCAAGGTGCTTTAGCTTTCCCAGCTGAGCATTTCCAGAACCACTCCCCCAAATCGCAGTGAGGACACCATTGGCCCATCTCAAGTTTGCGAGCTCGAAATCATAGTCTGGTTTCTCAAAGCAGTTGGGGCACTCCCCAGCGAAATCGTGGGTCCTCGCCCATCCACGCATTCTTTTCCCTTGTGCCACTACCACACAAAAAATAGATTTCCAAATGCATACAAGTCGTCTTGACGGCATTGGGACCGGGTCCTTCAAATCCAGGCTGAGGGGACAGTGACAGTGAGAAATCTTGGATCACCTTTTGCCGGGCGTTTTTTGGTTTGCATTCTTTTGGACGAAAACGGCAAGCTGACCAACTATGGGCTACGCACACCAGAGCACTACCAACATGGCTTCGAGGATCGAGGTGTCCTCCAGCAGCGAGGTTAAAATAAGGGTACCAATTTTTTCTTTAGTCTATTTTAGAAGGGGAACCCTCCCAACCCAAAAAGGGTGCGAAAGGGCACCTAGCCTGGGCATGGCGTCCGATTAAATGGGAAGCCCACCCCCGTCTGAATTTCCGCTCCGATCCGCCTGCCAGGCCAGGATGTCGTACGGGAGCTGAGCGAAGTAAGGTGGCGCGAAGGGAAGAAGACCTGCGGACCCTCCCGGGCCGTTCAACGCCAGGACGACCCCTCCCACACCCGGGTGGGTTGGAAAAAAGCGGGATGACGAAAAACCAGCTTGCCGCACCCAAAGGAAACTCCCTCGAATCTGATTCTTAAAGCGGGTGTGTTGCCGACGCTTCTCCTTTACACCCCTGCAAGTTAACATGGCCGTTCCCCCCCCAAAAGTGAGGGATACCCTCTAAGCTTGATTGCACTCGCTCTTATTCATCAACACATCTCAATTCTGGATTCTAACCGAAGTTTCCTCTAATGATTTGCAGTTGTCATATTCTAGGTGCGCAAGGGATCCCACTATTTCAAGCAACTTCCAGCAAAACTAAAGCAAGTACGGGGCTCCCAGAAAAGCTTCTTAGGACCTTAGGAAGTGTTCCTAGAACCATCCAGGGTTCAAAGGCCGAGGTTTTCCCCTAGATGGGGAGGTTCGGGTGGGCTAAAAAACCTCGCCCGCTCGCGCCTGCAGACTCACAGCCCGCCTGCGAATGTGCGGAAGTGCGGGTTGCGCGTTGGGTCAGTGCACCTAGCCTCCCACAAAGTCATATGCAACCTGATGTTCGGGGGCTCCTGGTTCGGACCATTCTCCTTTTAAAGGGACATCATGCCAGCTTCCATGTTAATTGGTGGGAGGGTAGCTTGTTTTACAAACTAGCAATTTTCCCCTGTCGGGTAGTTTGCGGAAAGAAGGATAAGATTCTAGCAGTACCTGCCCCTTATTTCCAGGGATCCTTCTTTCTAAAAAAAAACACAAACACCTAGGAAAACAGCTGGTTTTTGAGAAGAACGATGGTTGAAAAGAATGAAAAATAAACCCTAGATTCTCCAAATTGTGCAATACATCTAGACACATGATATAAGAATTGGGCTCCCCAAGCAAAGGGCCTTCATGATGAGGGGCTTGCGTTTGCCTCCACATTAAACTCATAACATAGGCAAACACAATGACTTGCCGGTTCCCAGCAGGACACATATCAATGTGTTTTGGCCGTCCGTAAGACTATATATGGTACCCTGCCATGGACCCTGGCTTGGTGCGTTTGTCCTGTATTTTCCAGTGTGTCTTGTTTGTTTCTTGGATTGTGTGTCATTTTTGTGGGGGGTGCCATACGTATATATCTTATGCATGCATGCACACAGATGTGATAAAAGCAATGACATCAGCATCTGCAATCTGAATGCGCCCAAGAAGTGTAAGAGCAACTAAGAAATTACAAAACAACTGGGCTTCAAGATTCAAGCATCTGAGAAAACATATTCTCCGGAATCTTGAATATTGAATTTTGTCTCCCAGATTTTTTAAAAATATGGATTCAAGATTCACGATTCAAGAATCTGAGAAATGCTTTTCTGGGAGCCTTGAATGTTGAATCTTGGATCCCAGAAATTTTATTTTCTAAACAAAAATCCAGGCCCCAATGGTCTCGATGTTCAGTAAGATTCTCAGAAAAGTTTTCCGTGAAGTATTTCAATCTCGAATTTTCAATCCAGTGGTAAGATACCTTCGAGGTGTTAGAACAACTTGAGCATTTTTAGGGGTTGACCATGATGGATGAGTCTCAGGAACATTGCTGTGTGTGTGCACTCCTCAATGTTGAATCCTCAATCCAGTGGTAAAGGACTTTCAAGCATTCGAAGAACTTCAATGTTGCTTGAGTTTGGCCAAGATCGCAATGCTCAGGCAAGTGTTCTGTATAATCTTCAGTCTTGAATCTTCCATCCAGTGGTACATGTTTGTAGAATTTCAGAAAGAGTTGAGAATCTTCAATCTCCCATCCAGATCCTGGATTGCCCTAAGTACGGATTTGAAGAATCCAAAAGGCAGACCGGGAGCGCACGTTGTCAGAATCAAAATGTGGATGTGCACTTGCACTGCCTGCAATTGGCCAGGGGGAAAATGTTGCTGACACCTTTACAGTTTTTTGTCGACTTGAGGGAGGATGGAAGATTCTCAAATAGAAAATCTGGTAGATCTGCAATCTTCAATGCAGGGGGCGAAACCTTAATGAGTCTAGAACAAACTGTCAAGTTTTTGGGGGACCAGGATTGAGTATGTTCTAACCATATGTTTGTGGAATCTTGTATATTCGATGTTCGATCCAGGACAACACGATCTGAGCAAATGCTGAAAACACTGTGTTTTACAGCATTTATGCAAAGAATAAGATCTATGATTGAAAACACCTTCCTGTCATGGGCTTGGCTCAGTTCTTGCTTGGTTCAAACCACATGGACGTCGATAAGGACAATAACTCTGTCAAAATTGAATTTGATTCCAAATTCATTCGGCCATGACAGTAGCTATCTTCTCCAGTTGGTTTCTGAAATGCAGCAGAAACTGCAAACGAGTAAACTTGAATTTGGTTTGAACTAGGGAGCGTTTTTAACTGGATATTCTTCCCTTACTTGAATTTCAATAGTTGTTATTGGCGATGATTGAACCAACTTAGGCAAGCAACGCACACACACATGGGATAGTTGCTTTGCAACATATGTTTCAAATAGACTGAACTAGCATGTCCGGAATTATGCGCAACACTCGGGTTAAAGTATAAATGCAACTGCGCAAGGACATGAATTAGGAATGAGTTCCTTTTCCCCAAGTTGATGACTTGCTGAATTTCGCTGCCAAACAAAAATAATAAACACCAAATAACGGGGCCGCTGCAGGCGCGTTGAAGCTGCCAAAGCATACTTCGCGCACTACTCCTGTACTGAACAATAGTTTTTTTTTGAGCTGGGGCTGCAACATTGCACTGTACTTACTCCAATGTGACTATACGTGTGCTTCGCGCACGCCAATGTGACGGTCACACAACTCGCAACTCCTAATCAACGTTGAGCTTAACTTCTGCTTGGTTAGAATTTGCATGGAGTTGAGCGTCCAGTCAGTTCATTTCAGAGTCCCAAGGTATTTGTCACCCCCAGTCTGGCCAAAAAACTCAGTTCTGGCCAAAAACCTGTGTATTTTGAGGGGGGGTAGCATATATATTTGTTGAGTATGTATGTGTGCATATAGGAATACAATGTGTGTGTGTTCACACATCGTCACTCCCCCTCTTGAACTACCTATGCCCATCTACCGCCTCCACCTTTTGAGATAGAATGGTTTGTGTTTCCCCTCTCTTCCCTTGAAACTTCCCCTTAAAACACCGCCTAACAAGTTCAACGTCGGCCCTTTCTTATGCTACAAAAGGGCCAGCATGTATATAACACATGGTTCAATCGCCTTGTAGAAGTCCCTTAAATGTTCAGCCATATTTGATATGAATTATACTTAAGAAGTAGTCGCTATTTAAATGATATTATCAAAAGCTGATTGATTTGTGTTCGTACTAAATTATGTTTAGCACTTAGAGCATATTTTGGAATAAACTCCTATCTAACTTCTTTTCTTAAAGATTAGTTGGGGTTTGCCCGAATATATATTCACGTTTTCATGTAGCTCCTATGTCGAAAGGGCTTGCTTATTTAAGCTGTAATTGAACATAAACACATTTTTGAAAACTATATCTTTACTAAGCTAGATTAAAAGTTGCAATTCTAGTTAAACTAAAACCTATTGGAAAGGGTATCATACTGGGACATTATGGAGGATGCCGGGCTCCAAATTATCAGGCTTTGGAGACTATAAATGTTGAGGTTCTAGATTTGCCATCCCCAAAAGGCAGTAAAACCAGGTTCCATGAAAGGGAGGTTATATATACATACATAGATATACCTCCTGCTCAAGCACTCCTGCATGAAAGCCGGCCAGTTCGCCGAGCACACACATGAGAAAAGAAAAGCTTGAGAGACCAAAAGAAAAGAGCAGCCATGGTTATACAGGTCCTTGCTTGGACTTCACTCAGGTCAGTTTGAAAGGCAACAAATGCAAAAAACAAACACGGCACATGATATCTCAATCGACTTGGGATTCCGCATTTCGGTACACTCCAAATATTTGTGCACAAACGCCTGAACAGCGCCCAACCCCGAGCTGACTTTGCTTCCACTCTTCCTATAACCACCGGCAAGCGGTAAACGGCTTCTATACTGGAATTGCCCTTTTTGGGATTCGGGCGCTCGGTTCAGAACCTGCTTTCATTTGGGGGAGGGCTGTGCTGCTCATTTCCAAACTGTCCGCTCAAAATCCGAAGCCACACAGTTACTCAAGCCGGCAAACATGTCCAAGCGGAGGGCCGGGAATGTGCACAGCTTGCCTCTTGTGCAAACATGTGCTCATACGGATCGAACAAGCAGACACCACACACACATGAGCCACAGGAGCAATTGCTGGTTAAATCTCGGGATTCGGGGCCATTCAAGGCCGCAGCCGCTACACATCAGCAGGAAAACTTGGCTCAGTAAAATGCAGTGCTTGACTTGAACAAAGTCGTGGACTCCTCCAAAACTCCAGACAAGACCCCCCCCAAGAGTCAGAATTGACAAGCCTTTTTGAGGCCAACATGGCCACATAAGTCAAGGCCTTACCTTTTCTGGTTTTGGGGATTGCAGGCTTCCTGGCAGAGAGTGAATCATTCCCAGGCTTGAGTCTACCTCGCAGCAATTCAAAGAACGACTCTGAGCATCAGTTCCGCAGAAATAATTATCGGGGGAAATGTTCCCCAAATAAGCGAAAATTCGACAACAAACAAAGCAACGAAGCAACCCAAACAGAAAGGAACAAACGATCGGATTCATCACAAAGAAACGAAGAGAGAGACAGCCAAACAAACAGACAGACAGACAGACAGACAGTCGGACAGACAGGCAGGCAGGCAGGCATGCAGGCCGGCGGGCAAGATACAACAGACAAGACAAACAAAGCAAATACCAGGCAAGCAAATGAACAAAGAAGCAACCGGACAAACAATCAAGCAAACAAACCAATAAACACAAAAGCAAATAAGCAAGGAAGCAAGCAAGCAAACAAACACGCAAGCATACAGCCAGCAATCAAGCAAACTATCAAACAACCAACCAAACCAAACCAAACCAACAGCACAAACCAACCAAACCAACAACACAAACCAACCAAACCAACAACACAAACCAACCAAGCCAACCAACAAACCAACCAAAAAAGCACGCAAGCAAGCAAGCACGCACGCACGCAAGCAAGCAAGCAAGCACACAAAGAAACCAAGAAACAAGACCACACAGAACAAAGCAAACATACAGGAATGCGCAACTATAGAAAGACATATGAAAACAATAGACAACGACAAAGAACAAATGGTTAAGGAAGTACACAGAGTAATCACATCTAGATAAAGCATATAAAACAAATGAATCATGACCGAAACAAAAGGGAGTATATTGCAAGACAGACGCGTTTGAATGAAAAAGGAAATAAAGACACAATCAAATGAGTCAACCAAGAAACACAAACATATAACGCAATAGTTAATAACGAAATAAAGGCAACTGCAAATACAGAAAGACGACAGGGACAAAACCAACTAGAAGAAACCAAAAACACACAGGACAAATGATGAAATAAGCAAATAAATAAAGCGTGCAAATAACAATTAAACAAACAATAAACAAGCTGACCGCTGCAAACTGTGTTTTCGAAAGTACAAACAAACACGTACATGTTACATGTATTGCTAAGGGGGGTCCGTGGCAACATTAAAGACACACACAAAAACACAAAAACAGAACACAAACAACCGGCCCACGTTTTGTGCCAAAAGCAAAACACGGACAGCCGGCCGCTCAACCCGGCCGTTTTTGGGCCTGCACCAAGCAGGTCTCGAAGGGCCCGTGGGGCTCGTCGCAGTGACCGGAGGCCAGAGCCTCTCGTAGGTTGGGCGCGGAGAGGTTCCGGCCGATCCGCATGCCGAACCTGAAACGAGAAAGCCCCAGCAATCACCATCCGCAGCATAGCCACTGCGGGAAAGAACAAGCCAAAGACAACGCCCGCAAGCGGTGGCCAAGCAATAAAGCAAAGCCCAGAAAAGGAGGAACACCAGAGGCCCCAGTCCCTGAAACGAGCAAGGGTCGTGAATCGCCAGTGACACCTTTCTTTCTCTTGGGCCATTTGCAACTGGGTTGCTCTTCCTGAGCAGAACCTGTTGCAGATTGAATGCGGCAACCACTTGCTCCCAAAAGATCTAAAGGGCTAAGGTCACACCCAAGACCAGCGAGCCAGGAGCGGGGGTGAAACAGGCCCTGTCCCACCCTGTCGAGGTAAGCAATGAAAGGCGCTTGCTCAAAACAACTGGCCTAAACTGTTTAAACAAGGGCCGCCGAACCCTCGCCCTCACCTCAATGCGAGGGTTTTCGGTCTCCATTGGGCACTTGATTTTCAAGGCCTGTGGGGCCCCCTTTTCTTTGAAAGTCCTGGCAGGGGCAGCACAATCCGAAATCCGTTTGTCTCATTCACTGCTACAGCCATGCACAGTCGTGCGATAAATCCAAAAATGCGCAGGGTCATGGCCGAGCTGCCCTGGTTGCTCTTGGGCGGGTGTTCTTACCATGTGGCAGGCATGGGTGCAGCTGGTAGCGGGTGCTCTTGGGCGGGTGTTCTTACCATGTGGCAGGCATGGGTGCAGCTGGCAGCGGGTGCTCTTCGGTGGGTGTTCTTACCATGTGGCAGGCATGGGTGTAGCTGGCAGCGGGTGCTCTTGGGCGGGTGTTCTTACCATTTGGCAGGCATGGGTGCAGCTGGTAGCGGGTGCTCTTGGGCGGGTGTTCTTAGCATTTGGCAGGCATGGATGCAGCAGCGGGTGCTCTTGGGCGGGTGTTCTTACCATTTGGCAGGCATGGGTGCAGCTGGCAGCGGGTGCTCTTGGGCGGGTGTTCTTACCATTTGGCAAGCATGGGCGCAGCTGCCGGGTGTTCTTACCATTTGGCAGTGGTGAGCGGAGCTGGCAGCGGATGCTCTCGGCATATCTGCGGTGCTGTGGAGGAGTCCCCAGCGCAGCCATTGCGCTGCACAAAAACTGAGCTCTGATGACAGCGCGCATGCCCAACCCGATCCTTGAGAACTGCCAACAAAAAAAACACGTCCTGACAACAAGATCCAGCCAAAAACCCTGCAAATGCCAATGACTTCTCCCCTGACAAACGAATGCCTTTTTCGCGTTTACATCCGCACCGCGCCCCAAACAAGACAGAGCACTGTGTTCTACACAACTCAACACTTCAAATGTGCAACTGATCTGGCGAGGTTGTGGCTCACCAGGCCCTTCTCTGCAGGTAAGAAGCTGGTTGCATTTCGCGTTCAAGACATTCTCCTTAGCCCGGCCATGAACGGAGCCTAGAAACCGCACCAAAGATCTCTCCAAAAGCCACGACTAAGCCCAAACCAAAGATCTTGGTGAATTATACTATTTCATAATATTTCACCAACCTGGGATAAGGTAATTGGGGGGATATTCCCCACATAAACCACCATTTGGGGTGAATGCGGTCGTGTGAGAGGTCGTTTTGCTCCCAGAAAGATGCAATGGTTGGCGGAGTTGACCGTGGTTTATGGAGAATGAACCCAGCAGAAATCATTGATCCCGTTCGATTTCAGCGGTGCACCAAAAAACACTAGAGAGCCATTCTCATCACCTGAGTCGCAATCTAAACCGATCGGTACAAAAATGGTGAACCCAGAGCCATGTTTCAAGAATTAGAAAGGCGGATATCCGCAGCTATTTCCGGCTGGGACTGCCCCTTGCTAACCTTCATCTACCCGGGTTTTGATTGTAGCTCACCTGGTTTGAGAGAACACCTTCCCGCCCCGAAATGTTTCTGGCAAAAGGCCTAAAACTTCTTACCCTCCAACTCTGGGGAGCCGATGGGTCTTGCCAAAAATTGGGGGAGCCCCTTTTGGAGAAAGGGAATTTAGGCCTTTGCATGTGGAGCAATGAGTGCCAGTGAGCCAAAAAACAACACGGGGCCCCAAGTTGGTTGGCACTGGAGAAATCCTGCGGTTGCCGACCACGATGCACATGGGTATGTCTCTTTTAGAGGGGCCTACCCGACATAGTGGTTTTCCATTTGTTCATTCGAAACCACAAAATGGGGTACCCTCGAAAACAGACAAGCTCAAGCCAGCAATTGTATTTCCACTGGCCTACTGTGAGAAACACCTCCGCAAGCAGAAGCTTTTCTCGCCTTGAAGGAAAGCCAGCGGAAACCAACACACCGCCGAGGATTTCGGAAGATCACCGATCTTAACTAACACATAAGCACCCAGCGATTGTTCAAACAGGGTTCCCAATAGTTCCTCTCAAAAAACATCAAACCGTAGGCAAACCCATCTATGGACCAAAAACCGGGGGGGGGGGGGTTGGGAAGAAACACCTTGTGCGGTTTTTTTGCGCTTCTTGAGCCGCGGCTCAAAGGCCTTGACCGAGCTGGGCTCATGTGCCCGGAAGCTGACGGTATGGGATCCCGCGGGGACCCCACTCTGGATCGCCGTGGGCACGTGGCCCACGACCCGCACTTGCCGCGCGGGGTCGCGCAAAGCGGCCTCCAGGATCAAACGGGAAGCCACGTGGTCGCTGCAACAACCCCTCCCCCCTTAAGCCCCCCCTTGAACCCCCCTTAAAGCCTGCCTTCAGCCTCCCTTCAACCAAAAACTCGGCTAAAAGCTTTTAAACTTTTGTGGGAATGGAAAAAACCCTTGATGTCCCAAAAAGCGAGAGCCTAAAGATCAAACCCAATAGCAGTCAAGGCCACATGGGGGGAAGGTGGGGTATGCGGGGGTGATGTGGTCCCCAAAGAGTGTCGGTGATACGAAGTTGATCATTGATCCCCGCATTCAAGCCTTCACTACCGGAACAAAGGGCCAACATTGTGAACCGGAAGCAGTCAAAGAAGGATCGCAGGGGGAGGTGGTGGGGTTTAGGATCCCGTCATTTGTTCCTCCCTGCAAAAGCGAAATTACGGTCACCCGGTTTGAGCATGTTCGGGACGGCCGTACTGGTCAGCAAGCCGTGGCCTACCTTCACGGGTAGGGGTAGGGTGAAGGTCCCTCATTTCTGTTTAGCCTTTGGCCTTGCAACTAGAGAACTTGAAATGGAATTCCCAAAGTAATCCCCCTATCACGTTTTGCAGGGGGTGGGATGGCAAGCAAGCTAGCTAGAAGGATTGAAGGGGGGTATGTTTGCCTTCAGCTGACCACGGGGAAGGGAGGTAAGGGTATCGTAAAGTTTGGTGGTGTTTCAAGGGGATGGATGTGATTTAGCCTTGACACCAATTAGGGCTTGTGTTTTTTTTGTGTTTTTTTTTTTCAGATTTTGCTGTGCCACCTCGTCAGTTTCCGTTTCCAAAGGCTTGGCTTTTTACAGGGCTCCTTGAAGGGAACATGCAGCCAGCTTTACCACAAACCCTCATCTGTTGAAGGTCGTTTCTCCCTGGATTTCCAACGTGTCCATACATGTAACATTTCTCCATGAACGGGAAACTCGCCGAACATTCAGGAGGCAACATAGGCAGTCCTGTGTATCCTTTGGTGCTAATCCAGCCTCCACGCCCGTCTGCGCGTCGGTGAAGTGGTACACGTTGTGTCCTGTGGAGGTACTTCCCAGGCTCAGAGGGTGGGCGAAGTCGAAGAACCTGGGCCAAGCGTAGATCTGACCCCTGCAACAAAGTGAGCACTGTTTGTGAATCGAAATGCAAAATGAAGGAACCCCAAAATTGCAAACGGTTGGGCGCAAAGTAGCAAGCGCACACAATATCCCTCCTAACCCACGTAATGGGAGTTGCGTCATCTACTTCACCATTGTGTTAACATCACAACCCTTGGTATGGTACAGCACCCTAGTAAAAATATACGGAATCAAACAAACAAAAACAACTCCAAACCTTGCCAAGAAAAGTGAAGTTAAGATTGGCAATGGAGCAAGGTGGTCCCGGATAGAAAGCCTTCCAAGGTGTGCGCCGACGCCATCAGCTTTTCCTGAGGCGCTCAGGGGGAAGCCCAGAAAGGTAGGTTGGCCAGAAAGTAAAATGGCCTTCCCAAAAAGTCTTAAGTCCAGAAACTCAAGTGAGCAAAGGGAAACAGCTCCAAAAGAAAGGGAACAGCCGATGCCACTTGCACAACTGGGTCTTTGAACCTGTCCCTAGTTTCGCTGAACATGGGAAACTCGCTTTGTGCTACGGCAAAGCCACATGCGGAGGCCCTTAGACTAGAGCATTTTGGACCTTTGCGAACCACTGGTGCGAATGTTTGCAAAAACACATGATCAACCATCAACCCAAAAGCCAGGCGAAGTTTGCCAAGCCGTCATTCTGGCAACCCTTTGCGAACCCAGGTTCAGAGAACGTTCTCGAATGCATGTTCACTGTACTCATACGTCCGGATCGGTGCGTGTCAAGTGTGCCGAAGCCCCGAAGAATCACACAGACCGGAACGGCGAGGGAACCACTTCTTTGTAGCGTCACGTCCGGCAATAGCGGGCGTTTGGCAGATCTGGGCGCAAACTGGCAAGTGGGATTGGACATCGCCAATTCATGTAAAGAACACCGAAGGAAGCCATGCGCTATGGCACTCACAAAAGGCATCGTTTTCGGCTTGGTCGGAAGCCAGCCGGCTTCCGAAACAAAATGTCATTGGCTTGTCCAGGGCCAGGGATGCCAGAGGTTGGCAGCGAAAATTCAGGAGCCCGACCAGGGCCCATCCCTGCATCCCGGCTTCTTTCCCAAAGGCGCAGTGAGGATCCATGGAGCAAGACTCCTGGTAGCACGCGGCTGCCCAGTCCTTCTCGACGCTCTCGTCACTGGTCCAAGACACCTCCTTCCTTGGTTCAGAGCGGCCTGGACCCCGGACCCGGAAAAGATCGTTCAACACTTATCTCTGAACAAGTATGGAATCCCTTGATTTCCCGCGAACAAAAGCAGGGTATCCTCAAAAGGCAAGTGCGCATGAGTCATGATATAACTGTTGGCTTGGCTTGACCTGCGGAGGTGCCCAAACTGACTGATGCGATCTCCAAGGCGAGTTGGAGCAGATGCCACTTTCCAGGTCCAAAACTGCGAATCTAGGAAACCACCCCTGGGGCGTTGAAGACCGGCTTCTTGCACAGACGGTCACTGAGACTTAGAGAGACTTGCGTGGAGAAACTTGCACTGAAAGATGACATGCGAAGATACTCTTGCACTGGACACCTGCACAAAGAAACTCGCGCTTGGAAATTGCACAGGGAACTTGCACCGACCACCTTTCACAACAGACGTTGCACAGAGAAACGTGCACGGAGAGCTCACAAAGGATATTGCACAGCGACACCGGCATGCAGATCCTGTACCAAGACAACTCCAACAGAGAAATTGTGAGGAGAACTTGCACAGAGACAACTTGTACAAACACCTTGCACCGAGAAACCTTTCGCAAAGAAACTTGCACAGGCAAGCTTGCACTGCGAACTTGCGCAAAGAAAGCTTGTGCAAATAAACTTCTGCAAAGCAGCACAAACACTTGTGTAGAGCAACATCACCTTACCCCTATTCGGTAGTTTGGGGTACCTTCCGCATTTGGCTTCAAAAGGAGCTGGGGCTCCCCAAACCATCAACCCAAGTTACCTGACATGGCACAACAAAGCCTCACCACGATCATACAGTGTCACGTTTTTCTCGCCGCAAAGACACACTCTTCTCTTAACCTTGGGCTTATGCTTCGGAGTGAAAACCGCCTCGCACGGCACAATGCTTTCTGGAATGTCGTCTAGATAGGCGCTTGGGTAACCTGCAAGTTTCTATGAAGAAAAGCGTTTTTTAGTGTTGATTCAGTAGTTTATTAGGAAACGGAATCCACCGAGCCGGAAAGGTGCTTCTGGGATGCAAAAGCTTCTACTGAGCGCTTACCATCGCTTACCCTTACGAGTAACGGGGACCATGACTTTGAATCCAGCTTCGAAAAAATGTACGGCACTGGAAGGTGATTGGATCCGCACACTAGGACCCATGCAAAAACCGCTACAGGACACACATGATATCATTCTCAGAGGCTCGCATCAACCGTCGGAGAGAAGAAGCTAACGAGGATATGGCCCCTATAAGCTCCTTTACTCAGGGCACACCAGCCCATCTGTACGTTTTCCTTTTTGTAAAATAATAATAGTAATTTCAACACGTCAAGTGGTCAGCTCGCTGGCTCGCTGTGATTGCAGCCAAAGTTCTGCGAAAAGTGCTCCCCTGTGGTGATGAAACATGAACCGTCGGAGAATACACAGCACCTCCGGGTGTATGAGCTGTTCTGCATTTTCCGCAGGCACGCCTGAACCGGCAGTTGGGTAAGGCCTTCCTGAAAAGCCTGAGAAGGGCAGACAGCGCATGACCCCTCTCTCTTCCACCAGTCTCACCTTAGCAAAAATGCAAAAGTGCAAGATGCTTAAACATCACCCCCCCTCCACACTTGGTCTACTCTCGCCACAAAGGCAGACTTTGAATCACCCACCTAGCAAATATGTATATGTATATACTAGGTCCTCCAGTAGAGGGTGCCCTTTGTTCTGTAGTCTACTGAAATAGCAGTAGGGAAACCCTCCCCAAAAAAAGGGGGTAAAAGGGCACTAATGGGGGACCTTTCTATATATACCTGGTCCCTCTACCTCCTCTTGAAAATAAGGAATCGCCTCATACTTTCCTAGGGCGACATCCCATGCCCAGGTGGTTTCAGAATAGCCACGCGTTGGCCGCACGGAAGTTGCAGAGACTTTGGATCGGATCCCAAAGCCACCTGCTTCTTCAAGCACACCTGAAGACTAGTTGTTGTCTTGGTTGCCGTTGACCCCCCTGCAAAAAGCTTAACTTTTTGGGGAATAGTGGAAAACACCTTTATTTCCAAAAAAGTTAAAGTCTAAAGATCCAACCCAATAGCAGTCAAGTTGTATGCCGGCCCAAACACATTCTAACAAGGATGCTGCTTTTGAGTGTTTCTTTCTTTTTAAAGCCAACAGAATTCAATGACTTTGGGGGGTGTTTCCAAGACACTCCACATTTAACTGCCCCTTGGTTGTCCTCGCAAACCACCGAGGAGGTCTCATGTTTATAAATCCACAAACAAAAGAGGGCCCCCTAAAAAACAGGCACAATAGTGTGGATGAACGAATCCTGCACCACCTAAGAGGCCCTGGAAAGGATAACTCCCTTATAAAGAGCCAACCAACCATGTTTTTTTCATGGTTTCACAGTGGTGCGAAACGGATTTCGTCAATCCACAACAGCAGCCCATGCCACCTGCCTGCTGGCACAAGTAAACCGTGGGCACGCCGATCAGAAGCTCTGCCTGGGACTTGCTGTAGACGTCGCAGCTGGTGCCCACCCTAAGTCTCGCTTGCTCCGTGGAAAGCTGCGCAAAAAAAGCCCAGCCCGCCAGTGGGCTGCACAAGAGGAACCCTGGAAGCCGTCACTGTTTGAGGAATTGCCCGCAATTTGCGCGCAACCCTTGGGTTCCATGTTGGCTTGGTCTGCCCCGCCAGGAAACCATCACCGATAGAAGTTCCCCTGTTGTCTGGATCCCGTTTGCCTCAGCCATGTGGTAATCGTTTGAAACAGGCTCTCCGTTCGACATGGGAGCCACAGGGCGCTACATGTTTGGGCGTGGTGGTTTGAACATCGGCCACTTGCCATATCAACATAAGGAAACCAGGAAAAGCTCCGCTTGACTACTTCATCTCTTTGTTCACTTGGACAAAATCCTGCACCACCTAAGAAAGCCTGGGGTGATGATTCAACTGCAGATACCAACCAACAATGGCTTCAACCATGTTTTCAAAGTGGTGCAGAAATTTATCCACCCACAGTATCACAAAGGGTGGAAAGCTAAAACCAAAAACCATCCAACCAAGCTACTCAGTGACTTTGGCAGAAACAGGGAACTCGTGAAAAACCATTTAACACACTTCCGACCGACCAAACCAACCCGCGCAGATGCGTGACCAAAAGCCCAAGGGAAACATATCCCAGGGGCACCACTGGAAACAAACTTAGTTTGGTTGAACAACCAAATGGGACCTGAGCCGAAATGTTATGCAATGTCTGAAATATATGTCCGACACTTGGAATACATGTGATGCCCAAGTGACATGGGATCTACATCTTGGTGAGCTGGTTTTGCAGCTTATCATAACTTGACCCAATCCCGAGTACAAACATTGACATCTTCTGGTCCGAACAGCCTCACCGCGGGGACGAAAATAGAGAAGAAGACCTTGAACTCAACTTGGAGACCTGGCTGTGGGTCAAACATCGGTACCCCAAATGGCTTGCCCTGGTAAGTGGAACCCTGGGCTTCAAAACCGGCGGTCCAATTCCTGATGGCTTAATTTTGACCCACACCCACATGCACAGAAATCCGAAAATCAGATTGGCGAACCAGGATCCTTGCGTTGTACACCTGAACATTGCAACTTGCAAATGGTGGTTTCCCTATTCATTTTGGTGTTGAAAAAGCCACATGTTTCAGATGGTTTCAAAATTCAGATCTGTTAAGGAGCCCTGCTAAAATAGCGGCTCCTTATAAACGGCGCGCCGAGGCGCGTCATGTCCTGGCAGATCACCTTGCGCTCCCGAACCTTCCGCAGCACCGCCCAGGAGTCCGTGGGCTTCTCCAAGTGCTCCGGAAGGACCTGAGATCTCCTTCCCCCCCTTCCCCCCCCCCAAATCCTGACGTGATTTCTTCCATTTGCTGAAGGGGAAAACCCCCCTCCAACTCCTGACATGAGTTCTTCCGTTTGCATAAGGGGAAGATAAAACATATTATTCTTAAACAAATGGAATATTTTGTCTGGGGCAAAGTGTAGAAACAAAGAAACCTGAGAAAGATCGTTACACCCGCAGATTCGTTGAACGCGGTCCTTGATGCCTGGTACCCCCTTTACACTCGGAGGGAATGAGTCGGGAACGTGGACCAAACCTGCATACTGGCATCCACAACTCACCTCCTGGATGCGTCCCGCGATTCATTCCACGTGCGCGGCAACATCATCCGAACGACAACTTGTTGATCAAAATCCATCCCTATCTTGCGCGGCGACTTGTGGTTTACCTAAATCCAAATCTTCGCACATGTGTGGAGGCAATGGGCGAGGGGTCCAAGCCCCTCTCTGACTCCAAGATGAGCCCCTAGGTGTTCCGTGATATCAGTGAATTTCTAGATCCAAACTGAAGACAGCGCCATCTATTTCTGGCCCACTTTGACTGCATGCGACTTCCCACACAAGAGCGTGTAGACCGTATGGGCAGCGTTTGCTCCAAAAGCAAGCACCGGCAGCCTTAATTCACCCGGCGGATGGAGGCCAACGGCGCAGCGTGTGAACCGGTGCGCGCTGCGATTCTGCATGTGTTTCTGCATATCCATATGCATGTGCTTTTTGCCAGTCCAGCGTTTGGTAGCGTCTTGCATTGTTGCCCTTGGCGACAGTGATGACACAAGGACATGCTTGAATGCCAGGTTTAGAGCTGAATGTTGGGCAAGGTTTGCATCTGCCACTTGTTCGAACAGCAACTGATGGACCTCTTCTGGTGGGCATTTAAGGGAAACCAACGGAAATCTGCGGGACCACTATTTGGATGTTCTGTCCGTGAGCCGCACCCATCACTTACGCACTTCCGGGCCATCGAACAACCTGTTCCCCCCCCCCCCCACGAGGTCACAAGCAAAACAAACACCCACCGCAAAATGTGGCGCCACGGGCGCTGATATGTCATGGGCCCAGGGGCTATGGTCCCTCCAATGGGAATTTGATCTTGCAGGTAGTGGGAGGAAGGGTGTCCTTGGCTTTTCCACAGACCCAAATTGCCAAGGGTGGATCCAAGAAGTTGCAGAGAGCCAAACAGGACTGAAATTCATTTCACGGATCCCTTCTAGGACCCAAAATACAACCCTCCCGCAACACCGTTTGGGAACTCCTTGGGTAAATTTCAACATCTCTACTCTTGGTATGGTAGCGACAAACTTTGTTCTTTGCAGACCCCCAGTAAAAATGAACAGAACCAACAAACTAAAAAACAAAAAACACAAGCCAAGAACAGTGAAGTCAAACATACCGATATTTAGGCGCCCAGAAGCCGCGGGCGTTTCATCAGCAGGAGTGCGGCACCGGTCACCGAGTCACGTGGGCCACCCGGTCCGGGAACTGCACCAGCACGTGGCTCTTGGTGTCCGCGTTCTGCAAGTGCCAGTCTTCCAGGACCTGGCCTGCACAAGGAACCGCAAACCTTCTCCTGAACAGGGGTCCGGATGCATTATACACCTGAACATTGCAACTTGTAAATGGTGGAAACACATCTCTTTATTTGGGTATTAAAAAAACAACATGTTTCAAATGGGCAGCGTGTATCTTTTAAGGAGCCCTGCTGAAGGGTCACTTTAAGATGCCTTTGGATAATTTGAAACTAGGTTGAAACTATGGGCGGTTTAGCACCTAGCCACAGGGTAAGTGTCACCCACAGGTCAACCCTTTTCGGGTTGGTAAAAGAGAAGGAGCCCTTTCTTGATCCGCCCGGGATTGTAGTGACGAGGGGCAAGTGTCAAAACTTCGATATGCAGAGCAAGTGCAAAATCACAGTAAAGGAGGTGACAGGGCATTCTCCCAGGAAGTGTCGTGCTAGGGACTTCCAATCTAACTCCAGAGAGAGTAGTTGAGAACCCACAGAAACATCAACAAAAAGCAAGGAGAAAAGGGTGCCTCTGAACAACCCCTGACCTTCCGTACTCACGACGGTGAGCGCCCGGTGAATGTGGCTGACAGCTACAAGCACTCGGCCACAACATGATGTCACTGGCAGGAGGTCAAGAAGCGAAAGATGGAGGCAGGCTCCTGCACACCTTTGCAGGCTGCTTGCGGAGGGCAAGGTTGATATGAAAGCTCCTCGGGGCTTAGTCAATGCAAGGCTGACTTACAGCATGCAAGTGCGGTCTTGGTTGGACGAACCGAAGCTTGATTGCGCGCAGAGCACTTGCACCAGCATGCTGGCACCGCTTGTGCCTTCGCGGTGATGCGCAGGATTGAAAACTATGCAGTTGTCCGCATCTTCTGTTCATGCAGCCGTTGGCGCGTTGAGCTTGCGTGCTTGGTTGTCCGTCAAGCGACTTTGGTGCCAGGCTTGGTAGCTAACGCTACTTATGACCCTTTGGCCTTGCTAGTTGCCGTTGGAGGGCAGCCACAGTCCTGCTTGCCGTATGACCCCGGCAATGTAATTAAGTGAGTAGCTGGCGCATGGTCATACCCCTGTGTGGCACGTGTGCATGGCCCGTGTTCATTTAGCACTGGAGCGACAAGGCAGGAGAGAGAGCGAGAGGTCTAAATTCTCCACCCGCTTTGCTCGCTCCCTCCAGGGTGAGAAGCATATCCAATGGCCGGATAGACAGCGTCGCCGCATTAAAGCCAAAGACCCGGGATGTGTGGGGAAAATCGCGCCAGGATCTTGGAGCCCAAAGGAGGCCGAACGGGAGACAGTGCGAGCGGCCAGCCGCGAAGGCCCATGGACCAAAAAAATCGTTCGTTTCTAAATTCATACCCTCCCAGCAGTTAACATGGAACCTGACAGGGGGGTCCTGGAAGACAATCTTCCTTTTGGGACGCCGTGTCAGGTTCCATGTTAACTGCTGGCAAGGTACTCACACAAAGACACACGCACGCACACAATGCAGACACAAATGCACAGAAAGACACACCCACACACAGACACTGACACACAGACACATAGACACACAGACACACAGACACACAGACACACGGAGACATAGAGACACAGAGGCACAAAGGCACAGAGAGACAGAGACACAGAGGCACAGAGACACAGAGAGAACAGAGACACAGAGAGAACAGAGACACAGAGACACAGAGACACAGAGACACAGAGACACAGAGACACAGAGACACAGAGACACACACAACCCACACGACGGCTACCAGGCAGGCAGCTTTTCAAACCGCCACGTGCTCTAGAAACAATTGTTAGAACCCGAGGACCCCCATCGACTCTTCCCAAGGAAATGTCCGTATGAACTCAGATGGCTAGCAGCCATGGGATAAAAGGGCATCCTTTTTTGGTTGGTTGAGTTTCAAGCGGGACCCTTCCAACAAATCAGGAAAAAGGGCGCCACTGAGCAGCTGGGTGTTTATTAGAAACAATGAACAAAGCCTTCGGTGAATGCTCAGCACAAAAGACGAGGCCAGCCACACGAGAACGTCAAAAGCCAACGACTGGCCTTGAAGGACCTTTTTCCCCTCACTGGTTGAAAGGACCTGGACCAAACCAAAACCGGGATATCTCACTGGCCACACCACATGACATGATGGCAATCTCGTTTCAACCGGAGCTTGCCAAAAACTCGCCGACGCAATCCACACAGACCGCCAGATCCGACGCGGCCCGCGGCACACGACAAAACCATGCTCTAGCTCCATGGTGTGGGCTATCCGTGCTGATCACTTTAAATGGGAGCCCGTGGTATCATAGAAGCTGAGCCTATGTAAAGGTAATAGTTATATATATATATATTGATATTGATATAAACGCCAAAAAAAAACAACATGCGCAGCTCGCCATGCAAGCAAGCTCAAACTTGCGATTGGCTAATGCGCCAACAGGCCACGCCTTGCTCGGCATTTTCCCACATCCGCGAAATCTGACTGAGCCAAACACTGTTTTTCCAATGAAAAATGAAGCGCAACTTGTCTCGTGGCTCATTGAGTCCCCAAAAGCTGAGAAGTTGGCTGGCTCAAACAGAGTCGACTCCCTGCGAGCGTCGGGTTTCCGCCTTCCAGGTCTTTTGCTGAGACGTCCGCCTCATCTTTGCCATCCAAAATCTGGCCCTGTGCCACCAGCCGCAAACTCACCCGCTCCTCAGTGCCACCCAAGAAAATCCGTCAATTCAAACCATGGCCCTGTGATTTTTTGCTCACCACTGCAGACTGCAACGGCACTTGCCATGGCCGTGGTTCAGTACATCAGAACGAGGGTCTAGACGAAAACAAAAACCACGGGTCCTCTTTCAGGTTCTTCTTTTGTTTACCATGTTTCTTTGATTTCCCACACCTTTTTCTTGGTCTAAAGGTGTGGAGTTCAGGAACGCCGAAAAAGCAGGACACTCCTCCCCAGCTTTTGCCCACCGGAGGCGCATTTGCGCGGAAGACGTTGAGACTCGAAGCTCTTGGCACCCACCCACAGGCGAAGGCGTCCATAAGGTGAAACCGCCTTCCGAAGCGTGGCACCCTTGTTGACCCTCTGGAAAACGGTTGAAAAGGGCAACAAAACACCCAACATACTTTACATGTGATAAAAAGCCGCCCTAAAAAAGAGAAAAGCTATATGTCCAGTGGTGATAGGTTCCTTCTGAAACCAACAAGGAGAATGTCCTTGAGCAAGTGGAAGTACTCCAAAAACACCCTCTAAATCGTGGTAAGGTGGACAACATGTTGCTTAGAGGTGGCTTGAAAGGAAAGTGATGTTTGTAACGGTCCACCCTCAGCAGTCGGTGGGCGGTTTGAAGGGGTTCTTCCACCCGAAAGGCAGAATCACAATCTGTTCTTCTGCCTTTAACAGGCCACTGGGTGCCAAATAAAATAGTTTTGACATCGCACCAACATGTCCTGTCGTCAAGACTACTCTCAAAATGGTGGAGCCGGGTTCCAAGAGTACTTTTCAGAAGCCCTCAAGGAGTCTCCGCAAAATCGCGCCCCTGCCGCCAAGAGCAGGAACTTCCCCCCCCCCCGCCTGGCAAAAAGAACAAAAAACAAAAAACATAACTAAGCACAGCACACTTGATCACCAATTGACAATGGTCTTACATCCGCTGCCTAAACGCGCCTAGATCTGGCTTAACTCACCATTGAATTTTTCATCCGCAACCAAAACGTCAAGGATACGAAGGTCAGGGGAGTAGTAGAGCACGAAGGGCGCGAACAGCAAGTAGCCAGCCCGCAACGAGGCCCAGTGCAAAGAAACTAAGCCCATCAAGGAGGACGGCGAAGACCGGACATATAAGGATACGAAGGCCAAAAGGGGTGGAGCGAAAAGAGGAGGTAGCAAAACGACCAAGGACACCAGAACGGCGAAGACCAGAAACACAAAGTTACAAAGGGACTGAGGCCAGAGGGATAGTAGAGAACGAAGAGCAAGTAGCCATTCCGCAAAGGCCAAGTGGAAGAACGCCCAGCACAGCGAGAACATCGTGGAGGGCGGCGAAGACGAGAAACACAAAGTAACTGAGGCCAGAGGTGTAGTAGAGCGCGAAGAGCAAGCAGCCATTCCGCGAAGGAGCAAGGCACAGCGAGAACACCGTGGCACAACAACCGGGCACCCTTTTAGGGGTAACGTTTAAGGTCTCCGGCGGGCAAAAGCCCAGGCAGAACACAAACCAAAACAAAAAGGAAACAGAAAAAGAAGAACTGCACCCGTTTGGAGGCAACACTTAAGGTCCCCGCGCACCAAAAAAAACGCACCCAACTAACCAGCAAAACACGAATAAACATGGATTGTAGCCATGGTCGTCGTGACCCTGCAAGGCCAGCAAGGGCGCCAAGGAGGAAGGCGAAGACCAGAAGTACAAAGGCCAGAGAAGTAGTAGAGCACGAAGGGCGCGACAGCAGGTAGCCATTCCGCCAAGGCGCCACGGGCAAGAACACTAAGCCCATGAAGGAGGACGGCGAAGACCAGAAACACAAAGTGACGCAGACCAGAAGAGTAGTACAGCACGAAGAGCAGGGGCCAAGCGCAAAATGACAAAGGGCACCAAGGAGGACGCGAAGCCCCGAAATTCGGGGGCCTGAAAAATGGTAGAGCACGAGAGCGCGAAGAGCAAGTAGCCATCCCGCAAAAGGGAAAGTGCAAGAACGCCAGGGACGTCGAGGAGGACGGCGAAAGCGAAGACCCGACAAAATAGAGTTGACCAGAAATATGGAGTTACGCAGACCCAAGATCTCACAGAGCGGCCAAGTGCAAGAACACGAACACTAAGGACACCAAGGATGACGGTGACGACCAGAACTACAA